TTTATTCATGGACCAGGATATCACACTAAACTAGGGGAACTAGGTTTATTCATGGACCAGGATATCACGCTAAACTAGGGAAACTAGGTTTATTCATGGACCAGGATATCACACTAAACTAGGGGAACTAGGTTTATTCATGGACCAGGATATCACGCTAAATTAGGGAAACTAGGTTTATTCATGGACCAGGATATCACGCTAAACTAGGGGGACTAGGTTTATTCATGGACCAGTTTATCACGCTAAACTAGGGGAACTAGGTTTATTTATGGACCAGGATTTCACAGGAGAACTTACTAACTATTTATTGAAACATAAGGTTACAGGTCAAATAGGGTGACCGGTGTGGCGGGCACCCAACTAGGTATATATATTTACAAGGTTCATGAACGATAAAGTTAATCTTTTATTTGGTTACGAAGTGTGCATAAAATGATAATAGTTATTAGAAGGAATATAGATAAGGTATCAGGTTTCCCTGATATAATACTCGGGGATATTTGTTTTGGAAGGGAATACACTCATCAAAGAAGTTAAAGAGAAAGATAAATAAATAAGAACAAAGATAGATTATTAGGTAGACAGACAATAGACAATAGACAATAGACAATAGACAGAAAACAGACAAAAGACTGACAATAGACAATTGACAATAGATATAATAAACAATTAATAGACAATGGACAACAGACAAATGAAAAAAGATAATATACAATAGACAATGGACAATAAACAAAAGACTGACAATTTTGACAATATACAATAAACATTGAACAATTGACAATAGACAATAGACAACAGACAATAGACAATAGACAATAGACAATAGACAATAGACAATATACAATAGACAATAAACAATAGACAATATACAATAAACAATATACAATAGACAATAGACAATAGACAATAAACCATAGACAATAGATAATAGACAATTGACAATAGAAAATAGACAATAGACAATAGACGATAGACAATAGACAATAGACAAAAGACAATAGACAATAGACAATATACAATGAACATTGAACAATTGGCAATAGACAATAGACAATAGACTATAGACAATAGATAATAGACAATAGACAATAGACAATAGACAATAGACAATAGACAATAATCAATAGACAATATACAATAGACAATATACAATAGACAGTAGACAATAGACAATATACAATAGACAATAGACCATAGACAATAGATAATATAATAGACAATTGACAATAGAAAATAGACAATAGACAATAGACGATAGACAATAGACAATAGACAAAAGACAATAGACAATAGACAAGAGAAAAAAGACAAGAGAGAAGAGACAATAGACAAAAGACAAAAGACAAAAGACAAGAGACAATAAACGATAGACTATAGACAATAAACGATAGACAATAGAAAATATACAATATTCAATATACAATAGACAATAAGACAATAGACAAATGACAATAGACAATAATAGACAGCAGTTAATATACAATATAGACAACAGTCAATAGACAACTGTCATTAGACAATAGTCAATAGACAACTGTCATTAGACAATAGTCAATAGACAATAGACAGTAGGCATGCATAGACAGTAGGCATGCATAGACAATAGACAAGACAAAAGACAACAGAAATTAGACTAAATTAAATAGACAGACAATCATGCATTAATTTACGAAATGTATTGTTATTTTTATTTAATTTTTGTTTGTGCTCCGAACATACAGACCCACAGTCCCCACACGGTGTCCCATGAATTTATTATTAATTATTTTCTAGATAATTTTGGCACCATTAATTATGTTGACTCTGTTGACAGAGTTGTAACAATGTCTTCTTCGAAATTGACTTTAACTATCGTCTTCTATATATGTGAACTATAGAAGAGAAAATGGACTACGGTGCATTTCATTCAGAACTGCGCACAGCTTCGATTTACTCAAACAGAGAGAAGGAAAAAATTTCCGGCATTTTGATGTACATAGAATACGTATTAAATTGTTATCGAGAGTTAATATTAATATTTTATTTAAGTACCGGTACGTGTCCACTGAAGTCCTTTCTAATAATGAATTGCATTTCTTTATTAGAACGGGCATAATTATTAACAACTAACAAAAGTAACAAGAAAATATCACTGATAAATAATGGTCGGTGAACTATTTTATGCAATTTTGCTGCAATTAGCTTTAAAGTTAAGCACTTTATCAATGGTTATTTCGAAACAATATTTTTTCGATTAATTTATTTTAATATTTCTAGATATCCCACCCCCGACTATAATGGGGTCGGAGCACAATGTTTTGAGATGGAATGAATTCCACACTGAGATAGCTGCAAACCTTCAGGTTACATTTTCTCATTTCATTCTTCCCTTTTCCTTATATCCTCGCAGTTTTTTCCTAAAACTTCTATCATCCTTCCTCGGTCGGCTTTCAGGTATATTCTGAGAGAACGATTTTTGGACCCCCCCCTCCCCCCCTCCTATCAATTTTCTACATGGGTCTGACAGGAAGTGTCTTAACTTAACCTAACCCGTGTCCAAAAATTGTTCACTAGGACAGACCCCGCTTTCATGACCCCTTGCCCCTCCCCTCCTACAAGTTTTGTACATGGAGCTCATATGTTAAAGTTGGACTAGCGGCCGCAGCACTCAGCCTCTTATATGTCCGAATCGCAGCGCTCGGCCCCCCTTTCCTGTTCTAGTCAAAGCTAATCTAACCCTGAAATAATACACTGAAATAATACAAAACAAATATTGTTAATGTTAAAATTTTTTTATTGTATTTTACCAAATTAAAAGCAGGTGGGGGTGGGATGCACAAAGTGTACAAAAGGACAGACCCATCACCTCTTAAGCTCGTTTCAAATTTCTTACACCCTACTGTGACGTGTTAAACGGAAACGGCTCACCGTGATTTCATGGCTAGTTGGATTTTAGGACCAACTATTTTAATCTCAGTTTACTAGTCCCACCTCCCCCCTCCCCCCTTTTTGGAAGGGAATACACTCATCAAAGAAGTTAAAGTCCCTCACTTAAATCCTGTATCCGCCCCTGTATCACATCTTTTTCTAACAATGCCTAAAACCAGTCCTAACTTCATGCATAAAACCCCCCCTATCCTGTATCCGTCCTATTTAAAATGGATCCGGATACAGGATCTGTTCTGTAAAATAATGTATCCGGAACCTAGTTGCCTATTTATTCTCTAAAAACATATGTCCAGACATTTCTTTTTGTTTTCGCTATAAATATATGCATATATATGTATTTTATTGACTGATGAGGATCGAGAGATCTGAAACAACTTGTATTAAAAATATGAAATCTGAGAAGCTATTCTGATTATTGCTTTATATATATACATATATATATTCGTGCTAAACATGATTTACAATGATATCTATTTAGTTGAGACTTTAAATGTGTGTGTTTGAGAGAAGATATACGTTTAATATAATAATGATATTTTTAGACTCTACGAGACGATGATGAGTTTTTGGATTGCACTGTTGCTTGTGACGAAAACTCGCAAATTCAGGAAAATCATCAAATTTATTGCAATCTTATTATTTTTCTTTCATAACTTTTGTTTTCACACGGGGAAATAACTTGATTGATTTTTCTAGAACTAAAAAGGTTTTTGGATTTTAAAAAGGTATCACATAAATACTCTGAACTCGAGTAGGTTCCAATATTTCCAAACTGTATTAGTTTGTTTTTTTAAGCTATGCAACATTTTATCCCATAAGCAATTTAAGAGATAACCGAACCAAAATACAACCGTTTAAGACTCAAATTTTTGAAAACCTTTTTAAAGTTTTTAATATAGAAACCAAGTTATCACGTATTACTGGGCACAAGTTACCTGAAAAGACCTTGGATAGATGTGAACTAAAGAATAAAGGAAAGTATTAGAACTAGGTTTGCCTAGCTAAACTACTTCACCAACTCAGTTTGAACCCGTCGTAACTAGCTCTTTATAAATTTCGAGATCTTAATTATTATTATGGATTTTAATTGATTAAAAATATATTTTGAATGATTGATTAAATTAGGCACACAAGCTTATCCTGTCTGCCTGTTCACCTTACTTCAGAGCTATGCTGAGAAAGGTAAGATTTTGAAAAGTTATAAAAGTTTTTATTTTTTTATTTTTACAAATGAAATATAAGTAAGTTAGAAAAGTAAAAAATAATTGATTCCATAGGCGGAGTAAATTTTCGAGAAGAAATATTAAGATACAAGCAATCTTTTAAACAATATTGAAAATTAAATAGAAAATATTTCCTCTTGGACTTTTCAAGTTAGTGACTCGCACTAAGTAATATTTTGACTTCTCAGTGTTTATTGGAAATATATGTAACTAAGTAAATAAAAATGACTTAAAGGAACTGAAAGCGTAATTCAAGTGGTCCTCCATGCAAAGATGGCAATGTCCGGCTTACAACCCCTAATAACGATCTTAATTCTGATAATTTCTACATTGCTCTTTATAAACAAGAAATACACTTTCGCAGAAAACCCGAAAATGAAAAAAAAAATATTGGGCCATTGTTATCTTTGCATGGAGGGTTATTTGAAATTACGCTTGCAGTCCATTTAAGTAAAATGTTATTCAGGTTTCCACTCCCCACCCTGTCCTCATCATGCCTGCCAACATCAGGTTCCAGGAGGTCAGATCCCTCATCGACTTCATGTACCACGGCGAGGTCGCTATCCCCACCGAGGACGTAAACCAGTTCCTAGCTGTAGCAGAGCAGTTCAAGGTTCGAGGTCTGTATCAAGAACGGAGTAAACCCCCTCCTGGAGCTCCACAGTTTCGCAAGACGGGTCCGGGTTTACAACCAAAATCCGGTGTCCCTTCTCGTCCAATGCCGCCGAATGTTCCGCCGGATATCCGGCAACGTTTACCCCCGGGGATTAGTATGATGAAGAGCGGTGCATCACCGCTTAAACGGCCCCGTCTTGACCTACCCCAGCATCCAGCCCAGGACGAGAGTGCAGATGATATAACAGAAATACCTGGAGACGAGGATGAGAGTAATGATTATTATCCTGGATACGGGGAGGAGTATGAGGAGCAAGGTTGGGACGGAGAACCCCCTCCTCCCAACCCTATTCCTGCTCCACCCAGCACCTCCCGTGGTCCCCAGCTCATGGGTTTACTCTGCCCTAACTGCAGAATAATGTGTCACGGTGTTCCAGCTCTCAAGGAGCATATGCTGGTTTGTACCGGAGCAGGACCTTCCCAACCCACTCAACCATCCCAGCAGCAGGGACACTTCCCAGGCTCACATGATGACACAGCCTGTCTCTGCCATGTCTGTGATAAACCATTTAAATCCCAGCGAACCCTGGACAATCACCTCAAGAAACAGCACGGGCTCTCTCTACCACCTAAACCTCCTGGATTCCGGGGGCAGGCGGGCAGGGGGAAGAAGATGGAGGGGAGAATGGAGGGACGGATGGAAAACCGACTAGAAGGACGAATGGAGGGAAGGATAATGGAGGGTGAGGAAGGTTGGGTTGGATCAGGGTTTCCTCAGGAGCCTCCAATCATTCATACTAAGGAGCCTGCTAGACCGGTGGGACAGGTTGCTCCAGCTCAGAGATCCACTACGCCAAAGTCAGAGCATGGGGAAATATTGCGTCCTCCATCCGAGGATGGTCGACGAGGTCTGGTGAGTCCACGTGGAGGGCGCGGCCGTGGCGCCCCGATGAGCCGGGGAGGATTCGCACGTCCAGGCATGCCACCCATGCAGGCCCAAGCACAAGGAATGCAGGGTGTCCAAAGCATGCCGGTTGGTCCCAATATGCCGAGTGGTCCGAGTATGTCTGCAGGTCCCGGGATGGGAGGGTCAGGACTTAAATCTCATCCTGGACCCAGTCATTCCCTTGACCCTGGAGTACCTAGACCAGACCTACAGAAGCTTGGACTCAAGTTTGGAGGACAGATAAGCATCACCTCCACTGGAAACCAGGGTAAGAAGATGATGGGAGGACCCGGAGATGGAACAGGAGTATCTATCACAAAACTCAAAGGAGAAATGTCCATGTCATCTCCGTTAAATATTCGGGATCCGGGTCAGAAGCTGGGTCCTGAGCAGGTTCAAATTAAACCCGAAGATCCGGGTCAGATCAAAACAGAACCCGGAGTTAAAGAGGAACCCAAGGAGTTTGAACCAGATATGGAGGATGGGATGGAGCGAGGGGAGGAAGGAGAGTTTGAGGAGTATGCAGAGGAGGAGGAGTATGAGAATGAAGAAGTGTATCACGGGGACGGGGAGTACGAGGGTATGGAGGGAGATGAGGAGGAGGGAGAGGAGATCATGCATGATTTTGACGGGGACGGATATCCAGAGCTTGGTGGAGATTATGATCAAGAAGGATAAAGTTTCATCCGTCCTTCTTTAGTCTATACAGCAGAGCTAAATATAAACTCATTCATAATTATCATAACTTTTACCATTAGTTTGTTTTTCTCTTTACTTCCTTTGTTATATTATGCTCAAGCCCCGTCTTACATGTAATGTAAATATGTATACATGTTTTTAATATAATTTTAAAATGTCAAAATGTTTAAATTTTTACTGCTTGGGTTTTTATTGTTTGATAAACGGAAATGGAATCATTAAGATTAATCTTGTATTTTAAACAATGTCTAAATTCGCAATAAATGAGAACGTGGTATTTGCTGGCAAATAAATATACTAAAATTTGATTCACTTTGACGCATTTGTTCACAAATTAGATTAACAATGAGCACTTTGATTTTTACGGGATAATGTTACTATCTCTTCTTCATACATTTTAAGTGATTAACCCAAGGGAAAGCAAAGTGATATCATCCAATAGGTTTTGACTCCTACAATTAGTTTTATGAAAAAAAGGATAATTGCATTTGGGGCCAATCTTTATGCGTTTTTCGTCTTTAAACGTTTTTGAAATGAAAATATTTATTCATAAACCTTTTAAATATTAGTTTTTTTTTAAATTGTAGATAGAATTACCAGCGTTCTTGTTAAACTAGATGTACGATAGTATTTACATTAAATTATGTACATAGTACGCAGTGTACACATACATTTATTAAGTAATTAGTCTCATCTGAATTAAAATTCTAGATATCAACAATCAACATGGCGTGAATATTCCTTTAAGTTCGGTCCCGAATTTCATCACGTAAAAATCCGTAAAATAACGCCAAATTCAAAAATCCGCCGCCAACCATTTGGTCGGACCAGAAAATCCCCGAAACTTTATTTATCAACACATTGTGAATTACGCTACATTGACGATAGCTTAGAATATATCTGTTTATTTCAGGCGTATAATGGAGATGGGTTCTCCCCACTCACTCAATTTGAGGTGATTTATTAAAATGAATTTTTATTTTAGTGTTGTCTTTTTTACTCTCTATTAGACAGAATATTTATTTTTTTAATTTTAATATTTTATAGTAAATAAGCCCATGAGCTCCCCAGTTAATGTGACTTCCCATTATAGACATGACCCCCCTTCTCCTGTCTACAGCAACATTAATACAAATTCATACTTGATCAGAAAAAGCTTTCAAGGGTACCGTTGCAAGTCGAACATGAATGGGGGGTTACTTGAAATTTCATTTACAGCTCCTTTAACTTCACGTATTGTAGGACGAGGAGACGAGGATCTAAAAGATCTGAGGACTCCCCCTCCACTAGAGAAGCTGTACGAACCCTACCTCTAGGTCCTAGGTCCAATAATATTCATACTCCGGGTCATAAAACCAACCTAAACCAGACTCCGGGTAGATCCAACATGTTTACTCCGGGTCCAAGTTCTGCACAGTTCAATACTCCAAGATCTACACAGAGTAAGTATTTTAATCCTATCTGTTGATTAATCATTAAAGAAATTAATAATCATTTTCTCAATCTTAAAGGACCTATAGACGTAATTTCAAGTGACCCACCATTTATAGGGTGGCAAGTCCGATTCATAATGGTACTCTTTAAACCTTTGTCTGATCAAGGATGAATGTGATATCCCAGATTTTATAGCTGAAAATTTATTATTTTCTATTGTGGGCTCTCTGACAAAGTGACTTCTGGATTAATGATATAGTCCGTTTCAAACATAACACTTGTAGGAAAAATCTTGGTCGATAGGGAGGGGGGGGGGGGGTTACATTGTACCCACAGTCAGCACTCGTATTTTACCAATATATTTTTATCTTCTCTCTCTTTACCTTCTGTTTTTTTTCAGGAAGTTGTGAGACTCCGGTGAGAGGTAACCTGACTCCGTCCTGCCAGGTTCAGCAGAGTGGTTCTCGGAGTATCCTGGTCTCTCCGTCAACCCAACCCAACCATGAATCTAACTCCGGGAGGAAATCGGAACACAAGAAGAATCCAGGTTCTCCGGCCTCTGGGAGAATACATAAGGAAACCAGAGAAACCTTTAGAAATCTATTTCTGAAAGAAAAACATTTTGTGGGTCAAAAAAATTAGATAAAATTTATTTTAATTAGGTGGGTAGGTCAGCGAACTGTACAGGGGATTAATTTTATCTGGGTCTGGCCTACCAATTATTGTGTTTGCTTTAAAGAATTCCAAAGATATTAAGAAATATTTTTTTTTTCAATTTTTAAAATAAAACTATGAAAACGTCTTATTCTGAATGAAATCATTCATATCTCCGGTAACTATGTATGCAATGGCAGGACTAGCGCTATTCTGTGATTATTGTTTTCTAACAAAATATTGCAAGTAGATATTGTCCTTTTTCTAGGTTTGAAAGTGTTAATTCCTAATAATTCCTATATGTTTTTCTAACGTATAAATGCGCACGTTACTTTTGCAGAGAAACCACAAATAAAAATAATCAGTTTTCAAAATTATAAACATTAACATCTAATTCATTCTTGCTAGACATAGCTTTTTAGGGTATCGTTGTGAACCGGGCATTACCATTTTTGCATGGAGGGTCATTTGAAAATACGCTTACAGTCCCTTTAAACACGTGAAGAAGTTAACTCTGGTTACCGGTTTAGGTTTTCCGTTCTCTTCCCTTCGCTCACAACTTCACCCTCAGGGAAAGGATAGGAGAGGGAACCTTCAGCACAGTTTACCTCGCAACCAGGAAGAACCAGGATATCAAGGTGAACATCTATAAAATAGTAATCTCTTTTAATATGTATCTACGATCAGAACTAATAAACACTTTGACGGGAATGTTGTTGGTTTTTGATTTAAAATTCCAAATATATTGGATATTGATTGAATATTTTGGATTATACCGGGGAGAGGAGGGGGGGGGGGGGGGGCCTAATTTTTAGGATTAAGATGTTTTTCATTTTAGTTCAAGTTTTTCCTAAAATTGGATTTATCCGGTTTATTTCCTTGATGCAGATTATATTTAAACATAAATATAATATGATTGTTATATGCCTGCCTTCCCGCTACCATCATATAATAAGCTCCCCCTCCCCCCACCCTCTAGTTAAAAATTTGATAAGTTTTTTCGTTGATTTGTCTGATGAAACTGATAATGATAAGACAGTTATGTCAAAAGTTTCTTTTTGTGAAGGGGGGGGGTTCAGAAATTTTTGTAGAATGTATAGTTTATGTTTTCTATTTTAAGATAGCTCTGAAACACCTGGTTCCAACCAGTAAACCTGCCAGGATCGTCATGGAAACAGGTTTGATGTCATTTTATTTCCTATTTAAATATCAGCAATTCTTTAGACAAAAATAAGAATAAAAATTGGAATAAGAAAAATAAAATGAATAACAATAACATTTAGGATAGCAATTTCAACATAAATAACAATAACAGTGAGGGTAAAAATAACATAAGGATAACGATAACAATTAGGGAAACAATAAGAGGATGGATAGGAAAATAAAAATAATGCAGGGGGGGGGGGGGCCGGGTGTATATTTTCTTAAAATATTATTTTTTTTTCCCCCCCCCCTCCCCTTTTGAAAAAAATATTTTTCCTCAGAAGTTACATTTGCATTTGCATATGCATTTTTTTAGAGAATTTTATCCAAGGATTTAGTGAAATTAAATGATATCCAGGGGGTCAAGAAATATATAGACCAGGAACCGCCATATCTGATGCGTCAAATCTGTGTACTGCAGTGGGAGTGGGACTTGGGAGGAGATCAAAACAAAGAATTCAGGGGCAAGGCATCATTTTTGAGGGAAAAGGGCCCAAGTGGTGGAATAAGAATATATTGCTATTGTATTTTTCATATTGACCAGAAAGCCAAAAGTATTTGCTCTAACTTGATATATTAACTTGTTTTTTTGCTGGACTTGTAATATCACATCAGTGCTTTAGTCCTTTCCCTTCAACTTCTGTGGGGGGCACTGGGTTTGTTTACTTTCCTCCCACAGTGTACAGTACACAATTTGCGTATATCTGAGTTGGGCGTTCCTGTATATAGTTCCTTGCAGGGGGTAATAAATTAATTTTTTGGGTTTATAGTATCTAAAAGAATAAAAAAAAGTTGCCGTATTGATTTCAAATTTTTCATGGTTTTCCCTTCAAATCATCAAAAATTCTGAAAAATATACCCCCTAGAATAATAACAACAATAACAAAAACAGTAAGTTAAGCAATTATAATAATAAGGATAACAATCATAATATCAATAACTATATCAAGGTTGTATGAGAGCTGCTGCCGGTCACACTAATGTAATCCAGCTCCTGGGTATGTGGAGAGTAGACGGAGATATTGTTCTAGCAATGCCATACGTTAATCACTCTAGGTAACAATCAATCAATCAATCAGTTGTACAATAAGGCAAATAATACAATCTGTGAGTTTATCAACTAATCAATAAGTCAAACAATCGACAGTGAATTTATTAACTAGCTGGTCAATCAGTTAATCATTCAATCAATCAATCCTTCAGGTAAAAAATAAGCCAAACAATCGACAGTGAATTTATCAACTAGATGGTCAATCAATTAATCATTCAATCAATCAATCCAGCCATCCAAGCAAACAATCAGTCAACACTTGAGCCTAAACTCTCCAGAAGAAACCATATTTCATATACACAAACAAACCAACTGCCTGAGGCAGAAAAGGGGTCCATGACCCTATATGCTTTTAAAAACAGTTATGATGAGCATAGAAATGCAGCCATGGATCTAGAAGAATAAATGATGACCTGACCCGCCACTTCATTCTTGCATGATGCAGGACCTTGGCGGTGAAACTATCAACGTATCAACGTAACGTATCTGCCAGTTCTGTTTCTTTAAGTATGCCAATTCTTTTATACTTTAATCCTAATTAAGTTTCAATTGTAATGCATATATAGAATAAATATGAGTCTTACAACTAATAGACACCCCTGTATAGCAGAAATAAAATAATCATTTTATTCATTTGAACAGAGGGCAAAACTTTTTTGCATTAAATCTGTAATTCTAGACAAAGAAAACTGAGTTTTTGACGCAAACGAAAATGTTCTAATCCCTATTTCTTTTAACCCTGATGGTGTAACCCTTTGATATTTAAAACTTAGGCTTTAACATTTCATAGAATTCATAGTTTGAAATATCAAAGATCTACGACATCGGATTGCACAGATGCAGGGATTGTAATTTTAAAGTGGCAAGAACTCATTTTCTTTCGCCGAACAAAGAGTTAAACCTTGATTCTAAAGTTTGTCCACGAGATATCCATTCTAGTCTTTGAAACTAAGATACATCTGAATCATAACGATTCACAACGGTACCCTTGAAAGCTTTGTCAGATACAGAATGAGAAAGATATCCATGGATCATGATTTCTAATTAAAAATTGATTAATTTTAATTTTAATTTTTAAAGTGACTTGTTGGTTTCTTCAGAAACATGGAAGAAATTTTGAGAATTAAACACTATTCTAGCCAGAAATTACATGACACGAATTCTTGAATTTACACGACAGTTCCTTTAACCCTGTTATTAATGACAAATATTTAATTCCATTCATTATTATTTAGGTTTTCTGATCTAATCTTCCAGATGGACGTGGAGGAGATACAGAACTATATAGGGAACCTTCTAGCTGCTATTAGACATATTCATAAACTTGGAATCATTCATAGGTAGGTAGAGGTCATTGGGTACATTAAACACTGTACAGAGTTCATTGAGTACATTGTGCACTGTACCAGTGTTCAGAGTTCATTGAATACATTGAGGAGATACAGAATTATATTCGGAACCTTTTTGCTGCTTTCAGACGATTCAGACATATTTTAATACTTGGAATCATTTACATTTATGAGGAGGTCATTGGGTAAACTGTATAAGGTCATTGAATGTGGAGGGTAGGGTTCAATAGATATATAGTGTACAATGTACACTGTATATGTATACACTGCAGAATACTGTAAATGGACAGTTTTCTTGTAAACCTACTTCTAACTTTACACTACAGTGTACAGTATAATACAGTGAAGTGTAAAGAAAGAATAAAAAAGTCAAATGTTAAATGTTTTTAAGGAAACATAATATATCTCATTTCAATTACTGCCTATAAAATGTACAACAGAAGATAAATTAGAGATACAAATGAAGGTGAAGAAATTTACATTAATTTTTTTTATTTATTCCAGCTCAAAGAAGTTAATTATTTAATCTCCTGTTCAACGAAATAACCAACCTTAAATTCCCTCCTTTTTTAATTCCAGGGAGGATAATTACTTATCCTCCCTCTTTACAGGGAGGATAATTACTTATCCTCCCTCTGTGATCCATACAGATTTAATTCAAGATTTAGATCAAGTAATTAAATATTCTTCCATATGCATTAGTAAGAAATAAGCGAATTAAAATTATAATTGATAGTTTTATTGATTTCATTATTATTTTATCCCCCACGGTTGGTTATTTCGTTGAACAGGAGATTAAACGATAAATTACTACTTAACCGGGAGTTCTCATGAGGATAATTAAATTGAGGGGAAAACCACTTAGCCTTGGGCCTCCAAGACCTTTTTGGGGTTCTAAACCTCCCTCGCTACGCTCGTGAGGTTTAGAAACCCAAAAAGGTCTTGGAGGCCCTCGGCTAAGTGGTTTTCCCCTCAATTTAATTATCCTCCCTTAATCTCCCGGTTTATAGTAATTAATAGTTATTACCGCCTTTTGACCAACATTACCGACTCATGCTTCCCACAACAGGTGGACGTTAAGTTACACGTCCCTTGGGACAATTAAGTATAATTCCATCAATTCCCAGTATAGTAGTTGTACATAATTATTCTGAATTTTCTGTAGGGACATCAAACCTAGTAATTTCCTGTACGATCGAACGGAGAGAAAATATGCACTCGTGGACTTTGGGCTTGCGCAGTATCAAGTAGATCTTAATCCAGGTACAACATGATACTTGGAGATATTAATCTAGGTACAACAGGACACTTGGAGATATTAATCCAGGTACAACAGGACACTTGGAGATATCCATCCAGGTACAATCAGACACTGGGGGATATTGATCCAGGTACAACCAACCAGTAGATCTTAATCCAGGTACAAAAAGCCACTTGGAGATATTAATCCAGGTGCAACCAGACACTTGGAGATATTAATTCAGGTACAACCAGCCACTCGGAGAAATTAATCCAGGTACAACCAGCCACTCGGAGATATTAATCCAGGTACAACCAGACCCTTGTAGATATTAATCTTGGTACAACCAGCAACTCGGAAATATTAATCCAGGGACAACCAGCCACTCTTAAGATATTAATCCAGGTACAACCAGTCAAGTAAATATTAAGATTAGGGAAGGGAAAATGTTTTTGTCTCAATACACTAACATATTAAGGCGTAATTGATTGATAACAAATAACGTGTATTTCTATGTAAAGTCGAGCACCTTAAATGTATTATATTAGGACTGCTACTATCAACAGGGAATAATGTAAATAGAAAGGGTATCATTTCCCCCTTTTAAAATAATTTTGATTCCGTTTTAAACCATGTTCTTTTTATTTAAACCCACTTTATAAGATTGATGTTTGTGATTCACAATCACAACATTACTCTTTAATTCCCTATTATTAAGTAAGAATGATACAGAATTTTCTTGACTATCTTTGTTGCGGGTCCAAATAGAAATTTGAACAAAATATTATTTTTAAATGTTTTTTTTTTATAGAAAATTGGGGTTTGGTTGTTATATTGAGATTACGTTCAGAGCCAATTTTCAATTATCCATGTTTTTTTTCACTTTTTGAGTTATCTGCTAATTTCTGTTTTTTTTTAGGCAGCAAGGACGAAGGACGAGGTCATAAGAGGACAAGGACGAGTGAGGTTGAGGTTGGGATAAACAAGAGGTTGCGGGGTATGGAGGACGAGGCTGAGAAGAGAGGTGTACTAGAGGACGGAATGAATAAACTCAACCGAAGTCCTAGGGTCAGGATTCTCAGAGAATTCAAAACTGTAAGTTTTAAATTTTTACTTTAAAAAAAACGGGGCATTTCCGACTTAGATTTGTTCCGCCATGATTTTTAAAGATGAAGATGAATTTACTGTCAAGGTTTTTCCTTTTTGTATCCTAAAAGTAAATTAATTTTCCCTTCTAATCACCCCCCCATCCTCATTCAGCGATGAAAATCCTCGAAAACTTACCGAGATGGTTAGGGAAAAAGTAACTTATGAAATGCCCTAAAAATTAAATTAAAATTTTGTAGATCCGACGGAGTCCTCGAAAACTCCAGAGTCCGGAGGATGAAGAACTAACTTCAGGTGCTCCCTGTACCCCTGCTACTCCTGGAACACCCGGAGAATCTCCCAGGAAAAGATTAAAACTCCAGACTACTCCGAAGAAGATTGCTCCGTTGTTTGAGGATACTCCGGTTCTTCGTCAATCCCCCCGGAAGCATGCTCTAACCCGACCCGGATACTCTAAGCTAACCATCACAGGAAACTCAATCCTTGGAAGCTGTATAACTCCGTCCTCATCTCTAACCCGAACTCCTAGTTTCACCCTGATAGATCCAACCAGTCATACAGCTGCCAGCCAACTTAGCCAGACCACAGATACTCTTCAAGGTAGGACACCTCTGCTCCGTGCATCTATTACATCTGCTTACAGTTCTGTTCCTGCTCTACCGAAACCGGAGCAATCCCGATCCCAGGTTCCATGTTCTTGTGCAGGGAAACCTAAGGTTTGCTCCGGATGCTTATCTCTACCTCAGATGCATGCTCCTAGAGCAGGAACTCCGGGTTTCCGTCCTCCCGAGGTTCTTCTTAAACATCCAAACCAAACTACGGCCATAGATATATGGGCGGTAGGAGTGATCATGATCTCCATACTTTCTCGTTCATATCCGTTCTTTCGGGCACCTGATGACATGACAGCTCTTGCCGAACTGTCAGTTATATTCGGGACCCAGAGAGTGAGAGAGCTTGCGAAGAAGTTTGGTCGGAGCCTACTCACTAGTGTGGATTCTGAACCTCTAGATCTAGGGATACTCTGCCGGGATCTCAGTTTACGGGATCGGAGAGATGAACCTGAGAAGGTTGAGAAATCCCATTTTGTGACGGACGATGGAATATCTGTCCTAACCTCACTACTAGCTCTAGATCATAACGACAGGTGAGTTTTTAACATATATTCTTCTATATCTATACATATACATAAAAAGTTGTAATCTCTGTTTGTCTGTAATTGTTTGTTTGTCCGATCATACCTGATTAGTCTAAAATTTCGAATTGGTAACTCTGTAGAACCACGGGAATGTACTTGGCTAGGTTCAAAAGTTTTTAGCTGAATATGTTAACGCTTATAGAGAAAATCAAGGCAAAGCTGGGTTCTCAAGCTAGTCTATAATATGGTTGGGTGGGTGTTTGTTTGTTTGTCATTTTGTATCCAATAAACGTCAAAGATAACGGGCCCAACTTTTATGTGAGACTTGAATGAGCCAAGGGAAGATGTATGACCGGTCAGATTTCACAATTATCAATCCTGAAAACTTAAGATTGGCAATTAGCTTTTTGCAATTTTTTAAATTTTTTCAATAAAAACCGGGAAATCCGCAAGAGGGTACAGAAGAATGCTACGATTATTATTTTAACTTAAAGCTTAGTAAAATATTATTTAAATCTACAATTCTTTCTTCAGAATAACGGCGGAATCAGCACTGGAACATCCTTTCTTTAAGAACGCTAATATCAATTGAAGATCATCTCTGCAATATATAAAGACGATATTTCTACACCATCATTGTAGACCATAGACCAATCAAGAGAAAATGAAGAATATTATGAGTAATGCAAGACCAAGAATAGGAAACCAAGATTCAAACTAAGAAGGCGTAGTTGCTAAAATGTTATATCCACTGGTATTAAAACGTGAATTTTAGAAGCATATTTTCAAGAACGGAAGATTGCCACTCATTTCTCCGGGGAAATTTTCTGAAAATGTTCCTCGGATATAAAAAGTTCCTGACAAGCTGAATTATATTTTATGATAGAATTAGCATGGGTATTGGGTTAGGTACTTTCTAAAGGCATTTCCCAAGGGTAACTTCCCAAGTGACAATTTCCCAAGAGACAACTTCCCAAATGTGTAATTTTCCAAGCGGCAACTTCCCTAATTTCAGGTTAGGCCCTCTGAGGCACCGCAGGCTGCAAGGGGGGGGGCGAGCGCTGCGACTAGGATGGGATAGGGGGCCGAGCACCGCGGCAAGAACAGGTTGGGGGCCGAGTGCTGCGGCTAAGATAGACTTGGAAAGTTGCTGCTTGGGAAATTGTACATTTGGGAAGTTGCCACTTAGGAAAATACCCTTGGGAAGTTGACTCTTAGGAAAATACCCTTGGGAAGTTGCCACTTAGGAAAATACCCTTGGGAAGTTGACTCTTAGGAAAATACCCTTGGGAAGTTGCCACTTAGGAAAATACCCTTGGGAAGTTGACTCTTAGGTTAAAATCCTTCAGGAAAGTACCTAGCATCATTGCAACATGTTATTTATAAAGAAATCATGTTTTTCGATTATAGATAATTAATATCTAAGTTGTTTCATAACACAATTTAGAATACTATTTTACAAGCATTATCCAATAGTAATTTCGTAAATCCAGTTTGTTTTGCAACAGTCCGATAGCAAAATGTATAATTAATTAAAAAAATTGTTAAGTCATTCGTAAAAAAATGTATTGACAAAAAATTAAGATGTCTTAATATTCCATCCACAGATTATATGCATTTATTTATAGTACAAATAATAGAGCTATTTTTCCAGAGTTTAAAAAACATTAAATTATTATAGTACAAAAGAATTATGTAAATAAACATTTTTTGAAATATTTGAAAATGATATTTTCAGAAAATATTAATAATGTTCGATAGATGGAGAATTCTTAGTGGAGGATTGTTAAGGGATCATTTCTTAAATATTAATACAATTAAAGGCCTTGCAATGAAATGCTTTGTTTTCTTCATGTTTTCATACAGTGGAATATAACGAGGCTTTGCTTGATTACATGAAATATCAAGAAGAAAACGTAATTTTTAACTAGATTTTCTCACAAACAATATGTACGGGGAAATTATAACTTTTCTTCATGTTTTCATACAGTGGAATATAACGAGGCTTTGCTTGATTATATGAAATATCAAGAAGAAAACGTAATTTTTATCTAGATTTTCTCACAAACAATATGTACGGGGAAATTATAACTTTCCCGAGTTTGCTTTGCTCCAAGGTTTTCTTGTTTCAATCGCTTAGTTCTTATATAAGCAGAAAAATGTGTCGATAAGAGGCTAGTTCAATGGGATTTTTTATCTATAGATTTAATTTTTTTCTCCCGAATTTAGCGAATTTAACCCTTTAAGTACAAATATAAAAAAGAACTTCAAAAAGAGGGGGGCGAGGGTTAAATGAAATATTGACTACTAAACCCTTGAACTCATAAATCTATCTTTCACAATTTTGTTTTCGGTATTAATTTTCCTAAAGCCTCGAAATTAACTTTATTGAGGATATGACCCGCAATTTTAATAATTTGAACAATAGAAGAGATTTTCTTTTTTTCTGTATTTAATGATAACAACTTAGTATATTCCGATCTTCAAATCATCTTCCCAAAAGTTCAGTTGTACTCTCTTCAATACTATGCAGTTCAGGTTCAATTCTACTTCTAATTATTTTTTCATTTGGCAAATTAATTTTAAGAATGGAACTGTACAGTGTATACCCACCTCAAACTCTAATAATTCCTTTTACATCATTACAACTCTTACAACCCAATGTTTAAGATTTTGATATTGCAAATTATGAATCCTGCTACATTAAATAGTCAAAACTCAAAAGTTTAAATTATCAACGGTTTACACCATAAGGTTGCAAAAATATTAGGATTAAAATTTTAATTCGAGGCAAGTAATCAGTTATCATGTTTCTAAGGATCCATGTACACTCTACAAGGCTACATACTGAGCCCGAAATTTAAAAGAGTATCGTTGAACGAAACTACCGAGTTTCTTTTCTGGGGTCTTAGCATTTGTGTAGATTTTGATTTAAGAGATTCGAAAAAAATGGAGAATATAAACAACTTGAAAAAAATAATATTTCATTACAAGAATATTGATATTCACAAAACTGCCTAACCCCATTCGCGAAACCCGGGTTTTAAAACTGGTTTTCATTACGATACTCTGTCTTAAGTTTTGGGCTCTGGACTGCCTTCTATGTACAATATATCATGTTTCAAACGTTCTATGTACACTGTAGAGGGCTACCGTACTGGACTGCCTTCTATGTACCAAGATATCAAGTTTTAAACGATCTATTTACGCTGTACAGGGCTACCGTACTGGACTGCCATCTATGTTCCAAGATATCATGTTTCACATGATCTATGTACATTGTACAGGGCTACCGTACATGACTGCCTTGTATGTACCAAGATACAAGTTTCAAATGATCTATGTTCACTGTACAAGGCTACCGTACTGGACTGCCTTCTATGTACCAAGATATCACGTTTCAAATGATCTTTGTACACTGTACAGGGCTTCCGTATTGGACTGCCTTCTATTTACCAAGATATCAAGTTTCAAATGATCTATGTACACTGTGCATGGCTACCGTACTGGACTGCCTTCTATGTACCAAGATATCAAGTTTCAAATTATCTATGTACACTGTACAGGGCTACCGTACATGACTGCCTTGTATGTACCAAGATATCAAGTTTCAAATGATCTATGTTCACTGTAAAAGGTTGCCGTACTGGACTTGCTTCTATGTACCAAGATATCAAGTTTCAAATGATTTATGTACACTGTACAGGGCTACCGTACATGACTGCCTTGTATGCACCAAGATATCATGTTTCAAATGATCTTTGTACACTGTACAGGGCTACCGTACATGACTGCCTTGTATGTATCAAGATATCAAGTTTCAAATGATCTATGTACACTGTACAGGGCTACCGTACTGGACTGCCTTCTATGTACCAAGATATCACGTTTCAAATGATCTTTGTACACTGTACAGGGCTGCCGTACTGGACTGCCTTCTATGTACCAAGATATCAAGATTCAAATAATCTGTGTACACTGTACAGGGCTACCGTACTGGACTGCCTTCTATGTACCAAGATATCAAGATTCAAATAATCTGTGTACACTGTACAGGGCTACCGTACTGGACTGCCTTCTATGTACCAAGATATCAAGATTCAAATAATCTGTGTACACTGTACAGGGCTACCGTACTGGACTGCCTTCTATGTACCAAGATATCAAGATTCAAATAATCTGTGTACACTGTACAGGGCTACCGTACTGGACTGCCTTCTATGTACCAAGATATCAAGTTTCAAATGATCTATGGGGGAAATCACACTTTAATTGGCAGGTAGGATATAAATGTATCCCGCCCCACTCCTTCTGTTTCATTTCTTTCACAATGGTACCCTTGAAACCGTAATCTGATCAATAATGTGGTAGATTACGTAGGTTTTCTAGCTTGAAAAAAGATTAATTCTGTTGATTTCTACATTGTACGTGAAGTAAGAAATCCGCAAGTCACTTTTGTAGATAAACCACAAATAAAAATAAGTTTGCGAAAATAAAAACATGAATATCTAATTCATACTTAAACAGACTATTATTTCAATGATACCATTGTGATTTTGGATATGCTATCAAGAGAGGTACATGGTGTCCCACGAACCATGACAGTTGGTGAATAGTTTTGAATGTCTTCTTCCATATACTGTATAAGATATTAAAGACTTTTTGCTGTTAATTTCGTTGAAAAAAACCCATTATTGAAATTCATTTTACTATAATAGGAGTACCATAAAATATTTTGTTGTCATTCTTTACGGTATCAAACAACTTTTAAACTATTCACCAACTGTCATGTTCGTGAGACATATACAGAAGCGCTTTGTGTGTAAGATAATCATGGAAATTTTTATAAATTAACACTCTATTTAACATGATATTTTATAGGTTGAAGGAGAAAATTATCATATTTTAAGAACTGGAGCTTTTCCCTTCATTAAATTTCATTGTAGGTTAGTCTTACGTGAAAACAAAATTAGACAAAGGACCGAAATATTATTTCAGATTTTACTTGAAGGAACCAAATTGCACAATATCATTATGTTTTGCACTTGCAAAATATTAATTAATGAACAATTGACATCAAAATTGAAAAATTATTTACCAAAATAAAGGTTTATTCCGACAAAAAGTGATTCGATAATAAAGTGAAATTCATTTAATTGTTTGAATTTCCTTGGTTTTATTGCTATTCGCTTGTCACATATATCCAATATATGTTTTAGTTTATTCTAATATTCTTGATTATAATCTGCATCTTGATACAAGGTTAAATACCCACAAAGGATTCGACTTTAATAATTACCTGAAAGTACTGACAATCTGAAGGTTAAATTTGGTATTTTGTCTTTAATACAGTCTTTTAAAGGGATAATACATCATATGTCAAAGATTGATGAAGTTTTAAAAATATTTAGAAATATAAATGTTGAAAGTAAAACTGAAGAAAATTCCGTACAGTCGTCTCTGATGTATAATCATTAGTTGGGATAAACTCTGTATATTAACGTTAGAAAATAAATTAACCAACAAAATTACATTACATTTTTCAATCTTTTTAATCTCAGTTTAATTTTGTCAGGGGCGAATAAACATTTTGGCGTGGAGGGGGGGGGGGTTAACTTTTTTTGTTCTTTCCAGGGCCGGTGGTTCAGTATCCGTTGGGCCTAAAACCCACCTGGAGAGCGAAGATTTCATTGATCCAGGGGGCCCAATAGTCCCCCGTATATGCTTCTGTTTATTCTCCGTCGTCCCTTTACAGTAAACGTCCTGTTTATTCTCCGTTGAATCTCCGTTTTAGTAATCGTCTTGTTATTCTCCGTTGAATCTCTGTTTTAGTAAACGCCCTGCTTATTCTCCGTTGAATCTCTGTTTTAGTAAACGTCCTGCTTATTCTCCGTTGAATCTCTGTTTTAGTAAACGTCCTGTTTATTCTCCGTTGAATCTCTGTTTTAGTAATCGTCCTGCTTATTCTCCGTTGAATCTCTGTTTTAATAAACGTCCTGCTCATTCTCCGTTGAATCTCTGTTTTAGTAAACGTCCTGCTTATTCTCCGTTGAATCTCTGTTTTAGTAATCGTCCTGCTTATTCTCCGTTGAATCTCTGTTTTAATAAACGCCCTGCTTATTCTCCGTTGAATCTCTGTTTTAATAAACGTACTGCTCATTCTCCGTTGCATCTCTGTTTTAATAAACGCCCTGCTTATTCTCCGTTGAATCTCTGTTTTAATAAACGTACTGCTCATTCTCCGTTGAATCTCTGTTTTAGTAATCGTCCTGTTTATTCTCCGTTGAATCTCTGTTTTAGTAAACGTCCTGCTTATTCTCCGTTGCATCTCTGTTTTAGTAAACGTCCTGCTTATTCTCCGTTGAATCTCTGTTTTAGTAATCGTCCTGTTTATTCTCCGTTGCATCTCTGTTTTAGTAAACGTCCTGCTTAATCTCCGTTGAATCTCTGTTTTAGTAATCGTCCTGTTTATTCTCCGTTGAATCTCTGTTTTAGTAAACGTCCTGCTTATTCTCCGTTGCATCTCTGTTTTAGTAAACGCCCTGCTTATTCTCCGTTGAATCTCTGTTTTAGTAATCGTCCCGTGGAAGATTTGCAAATAGAAGATATATTTTACAGAGCTCTCAAGGAAAAAAGAAAATCTCTCAAATTACCAGCATGACAAAAAGCACAAATTTAACATAATTATGAATTTGAAAAAGCGGAATAAGGTGAATTATCATGAAAATTTAGATTATTTTTTCGAAAACGCATATATAATTCGTGGTTCGCGAGAAAAAAAAGCGGCGCAATTTTTGTAATGTTTTTAGAAATCTGATGTGCCCTTTGCCCATTTTCAAATTTCATCTTTGAGTTTTTCAATATTTTAATATTTCGTGAACTCTGTTTGAAGATTTTAAACTTGGGATTACCAACCTTTGCTTACGGATTGGCAGGCCTGGTGATGACAGGACATATGGAAATATTTCAGGTGAAAAGGTCACACTGAAATAGACAGAAGGAGACATTAATGGTACGTCTTTTGACCTAGTAGCTCCTCTACAGAAGGAAGGATAAGAAAGGATAAGAAAGAAAAAAAAATAATAAGAAAGAATAAGAAAGAATAAGAAAGGAAAACAAAGGATAAGAATGGATAAGAAAGGTTAAGAAATGATATGAAAGGATAATAAAGGGTAATAAAGAATGAGAAAGAATAAGAAAGGATACGAAAGGATAAGGAAGGATAAGGAAGGATAAGAAAGGATAAGTTAGGATAAAAAAGGATAAAAGAGGATAAAAGAGGATAAAAGAGGATAAAAAAGGATAAGAAAGGATAAGAAAGGATAAGAAAGGATAAGAGAGGATAAGAAAGAATAAGGAAGGATAAGAAGGAAGAATAAGGAAGAATTAGGAAGGATAAGAAAGGGTTAATAAGGATTAGGAAGGATGAGGAAGGTAAGGAAGGATTAAAAAGGATAGGGAAGGATGAGGAAGGACGAGGAAGGAAGCAGAGGAAGGATAAGGAAGAATAAGGAAGGATAAGAAGAAAGAATAAGGAAGGATTAGGAAGGATAAGGAAGGATAAGGAAGGATAAGGAAGGATAAGGAAAGATAAGGAAGGATAAGGAAGGATAAGGGAGGATAAGGAAGGATAAGGAAGGATAAAGAAGGATAAGGAAGGATAAGGAAGGATAAGAAAGGATAAGAAAGGATAAGGAAGGATAAGGAAGGATAAGGAAGGATAAGGAAGTTTTAGGAAGGATAAGGAAGGAAATGAGGAAGTGCTATGACCTGTAGCAAAGTTAAACTGGATGGCAATCATTGACACCCTGTATGCAAAGGAATTGAGTCTTTGTCACAGACTCTGATTTTCTAATTCCTATATCTTTGCAACCCGATGTCGTAGACCTTTGTTAATTAAAACTAAGAATTCTGCTAGATCAAATAATCCAAGTTTGGAATATCAAAGGTTTACACTTTCAGGTTGCAAAGATACATGGATTAGAAAATTTGAATTTGTGGCAACGACTCGGTTCCTTCCTTTAATATCAATACCCTGTATACAAGGTTGTGTTTAGGTAGAGAATAAAGAAATCACTCTCTTTTACTGGTATAAGGAAGATAGAGGATCCCCAAACTAGAGATTTTGTCGTCTTTTGATTTTCATGTTTAGTGAGACACACTGTACAGTACTGTACACTATACAATATACCATTTATAACGATTTCTTAAAGGCGACCATGTCAGCCTGTTCAAAGTTTTATAAAAGTATGTTTGTAATATTGAACATTTTAGAAAGTTTAAGATATTTTTTAATAGCCAAAAATTATGAAATGAAAAATTATGTCTTATTATTTTTTGTTAAATAAAGAGCATGCACATTGCACAAGGAAAACTAATGTTCAACAGGATTTAATTGTTATTTTTTCTCCAGGAATGGCCATACTAGGTACATTAAGGTTAGAGTTACTGTTGAAATAAAAATCAAAAAATACGGTGGTTGGCAATTATACCAATATAATGAAGACGACTTTTTTATAAAAGTTTTAATTGTTAACAAGTTTTTTTTGTTAAGTTAACAAGTAATTAAAGAGAACATTTTTTAATATGACAGATTCTCTTTGTTTTCATGCTTTTTTTATTCATCATGCTGTTTAAAGATGAATATTAATCAAAATTTAAATCCACAGTCGTCTTCATTATATTGATATAGTCGCCTACCACCGTAACATCCTGGAAACAATTAAAAGTCTAAATTTCAAATAAGAGAGAGAATTTTCATATTGAAATATTGGATGGATTGGATGATTTCAAGGATGTACGAGAATTGGAAGATTTAAGCTACAAATACACTTGAGAAAAAATTCTGTGCCATAACATTTTCTTAATATTTTATTTATACAAAAACAGCGTTTAAAGGAACTGATCCCTCTACTATAGAGACTATAGAGGGATTTACCTGAGATTAGGACGAAATCTAAATCAAACCTTTATTTATACTGATCAACAAAGTGCAAGAAATAGTCGTTTTTCTTTCTTTAAAAGTGTTAAATTCCGTCCTTTCTTTTATGTTTTTTTTTAGCGGTATCTGCAAGTCGCTATTACAGAGCGTCCCATATCAAATTAGATTATCTCCAATCTTTAACACCTAAATACGCACATTATACTCGAAAAATCTAGCATTTTCTGCAAAAAAAAATTCTATTAGCCTTATTAAATTTTTCAAAATGATTCATTCTTCTTAAATTTTCTGATTTGTCCCCCAAATCATAATTTAGACCGATTGACGCGGTCTAATTTGATGTGGGACACCCTGTATAGAGAGCCACAATTAAAAATAATCAATTTTCAAAGTTAAATTGATGGGATATCCAGAGTTTAGCGTAGGAAACCGAATATGCCACTCGATTCAAGGGGGATAATTTGAAATTATGGCTACTGCAGTCCCTCAATAGAATTCATGTCATGTGTGGACTTGTGGAGAGTTGTGGATTAACTAACAGGGTTAATTTTCTTCACAAATATTCTAATGACACATTTAACTCTGATAAAAATCAGTTATTTAATTTATTTTTCTTCCAAAATAATTTCTGGTTTTATTAATCTTAACCAAAAAAATTATATAAATTGGAAAATTCATGATTGATTTATACATATTTATTTTATTGCTACACAATAACATTTTTAAATTGTGACATTTTTAAATTAATGTTTAAAAACTGAAAAACTGAAAATATTTAATTGGAAAATTTGATTGTAAATGTTTACCCCTGTTGGATGAAAGATTTGGCGGGAGTTACAGCTGTTTCTTTTCTCTTCAGTGTTAACAACTACCTAGAGCAAGCGTCCTAAACCCAAACCTCATCTTTAAACGTGATGACGAAATATTTTTATTTAAAATAATTAAAATGTCAAAATATTGTTATTTTAGTGTCTTTTGCACTTGTATTGAAGATATAGTTTTCAAATTAATTCATTGTATCCATCGTTAAAAATTTATAATAATGCGCTCAAATATTTGAATATTTCAGATTTGAAGTGAATATATTGCACAATGCCTCAGGTTCAGTCCCGGCTAGACCTACCCACGAGGAAGCCTAGATTCTGCAACGTTAAACGTGATGAAACCCCAACACGGGCAGGACGGAGAAAACTGATAGCTCCTATAGAGAACCCTGAGAACATGCTCCGAACTCCAACCCGTAAGAACGGGTCCAAACTCCGGGATAGATCTGGAACCCCTGCTAGGAACGGGTTGAGAACTCCGAACAAGAGGAACGGGGAAGATTTCCCAAACGTGGAAGTATCTCCGACTAAATCTCTCCGAACTTGTGATAATCTCAAGGAGAACTCTCATCCTAACATTAACATCCAGAGTCCGAGTGTTCATCTTGCAAGGTTGAATATAAACAGTCCTAAGATCAATCTCCGTTCTCCTCTGGTTGAACAGAAAACCCAGAACAATTCTCCGGCTCAGGGGGCCAAGGGAACCAACCTTTTCAGTCCGAAGAAACTTAACGCAGAAAATATTCAAGATATCCTTTTCAGTCCGAGTAAATCTAGCTCCGGAGTTCAAAACATTCGAGTAGACGATGATATTAGTTTCCGTAGTCCGATGAAACCTAAGTCTCTGTGTCCCCCCAGATCTCCTCGCCACTCTATCCAGATTAGCCCTGTAAAATCCCTCTTTATTAAACCTGTTACGCCCGGTAAGTCTCCGAGAAAGCCTAGTGGACTCACTGATAACGATGTAGAGAACTTACTCTGTAGTCCGGAGAAACCTAAATCCACTCTGAAACCGTCCCGTCCGTCCGCCCCTCCTCCGGTCGGAATCCTCTTTACGAAACTGACTTCAAGTCCACTCAAAATCTCTTCAGCTAACGAGCTAGAGAATCTTCTCTGTAGTCCTGCGAAGGAGCGAAGTCCTCGGAAATCTCTTGCTCCAGTAAAATCCCTAATCCCTGTAAGGAGTCCTAGAAAGGCATTAACTCCTGTTAAATCTCCTAGGAAAGGAGCAGCAAACCTCTTCTCTTCTCCGGTTAAAGCATCAACTCCTGGTAAACCTGAAACTCCGTCTTCTCTATTCAAAGCTGATGTTACTCAGGTATAGTTTAGAACCAGTACAGATCTTGGATCCGCTCGAAAAATGGATCCGGTTAAATATAATCAACATTTCATTGATTTTTTTATCAAAGAAAAATTTTAAACTATTATTCTTCTTCTTTTAAACTATTATTCTTCTTCTTATAAATTATTTGTTTTGCTAAACCTTGATGAGCCATTCAGAGAAAATCAAATTTTTAATTATCTCTCTTTCCAATAGTTCAGATTTGGATTGTGAGAACTAAACCTTTTTAACGGTTTTTCGTTGATATTTTGCCTTTTAAATCTGGATTCTAAGCACTGCATATTGCATAACAACTAGTTGTCCAATTTTGTATATCTAAATTTGATGGGAAGGTGGGGGGGGGTAGGGGGGTGCAAAAAGTTTCTGGAAAAGGTCCAAAACTGCCAAATATTTTCAATTATACTCCACCTTTTTTACGCAAATTTATTAAATCTTGCCGTGAACTTCAAAATAAAATAGATATCGACAATTATTCCACTGCATTTGTAAAGGAAATCCCTCTCTCGTATCCTTTAATAAAAGTCGGAAAACACAAAAATATTCGAAAACTGATTTTAATTCAAATCCGTTTCTTTGTTTTTAGTTCCAGAATGCGCGTCAAGCTCTGCATACAGGAACTCCCAGCGAGCTGCTGTGTCGCTCAGAACAGGTTCAAACCATGTCCACCTGGCTAGACCAACATCTACTGAAAAACAAGTATTTTTTACTTTATTTTTTATTTATTTTTTCTATCAATGTTTCCTCCCTTTTCATATTTCTTAGTTTTGCGATATAGCTCTCTACTACGAGTTGCAGGACCGTTTCTCCCCCCCCCTGTATCTCTAGACCTGGATCCGAACCATGATCTTTATGAAACCTGTATCTCTAGACCTGGATCCGAACCATGATCTTTATTAAACCTGTATCTCTAGACCTGGATCCGAACCATGATCTTTATTAAACCTGTATCTCTAGACCTGGAACCATGATCTTTACTAAACCTGTATCTCTAGAACTGGATCCGAACCATGATCTTTAATCCTGTATCTCTATACCTGGGTCCGAACCATGACCTTTATTAAACCTCCATATCTAGACCTGGATCCGAACCATGATCTTTTATTAAACCTGTATCTCTAGACCTGGAACCATGATCTATATTAAACCTGCATATCTAGACCTGGATCCGAACCATGATCTTTATTAAACCTAAATATCTAGACCTGGATCCGAACCATGACCTTTATTGAACCTCCATATCTAGAGGTCTGGATCCGAACCATGATCTTTATTAAACCTGTATCTCTAGACCTGGAACCATGATCTATATTAAACCTAAATATCTAGACCTGGATCCGAACCATGATCTTTATTAAACCTAAATATCTAAACCTGGATCCGAACCATGATCTTTATTAAACCTGTATCTCTAGACCTGGATCCTTGTATGTGAGTGGAGCTCCAGGGACGGGGAAAACTGCAACCCTCACCCACCTTCTTAAAAACAAATTAGGTAACAGATTAACTTACATGTATTTTGGAATATTTTTGATACATCAGTTAAAGATTATGTTTTTACTGATTTTCTATATTTCTATAACCTTTGCTGTGAATTGATCAATTAATCTTATCCTATCTTATCTCGACCTATCCCATCCTATCCTATCCTATCCTATCCTATCCTATCCTAGTCTATGTCTATCCTATCCTAGTCTATGTCTATCCTATCCTATCATATCCTTAATCTTGATCCTGCTCTTGATTTAAGTCTCAATCTACAATTTGAAAGTTTTGACCTTAATCGCAATCTAGTCTTAAATCTTAATCTTCAATCTTGATCTTGATCTCAATTTTTATCTTGATTTAAATTTTTATCTTAATCGTAATCCTAATATTCTAGGTTCTCAGACGACTGTGTTTATAAACTGTATGATCTTGAAGTCCTCTGTGGGTATCTACAAGGAGGTGGCCAGGCAACTCAACAACAAAAGCGTGGTGAAGGGGGAGAAGGACGCGATTAAGGAGATTGAGAAGATTATCACGTCCAAGGGAGAAATGATTCTACTAGGTAACAAGATAACAAGTATACCGTCGTTGTTTTTATTGAGAAATTTAAAAAAATGGTATAATCTTAGTTTTCCTTATAATCTATCTTCTTATCAATCCATCTATTTTAATATATCTGTCTATCCATCTATCTGTTTTTTGATAATTTCTTTCTGTTTTTTGATAATTTCTTTCTGTTTTTATGTCCCTCTGTTCCTAATTTTATCTATTATATCTATGTATCTTTATCCAATCTACATCTACATCTATCCCTTTAAGAATTTATCTATCGAATGACGGGTTTATTTTTGATCATTTATATTTGTCTAAAGCAAAACTAGATTCCATAATAAAACAGTTTACAATTTACCACTAATACTTTTTCGTCTGGATATTGCTTTTCATGATTTTTAGATATCTGTTCATCTAATCCTATATTTCTTTATATATATTTATATATCTGTATAACTAATCAAATCTTTCTACATATCTATCCATCTGTATCTATCTATCTATCTATCTATCTATCTATAGCTATCTTATCTAGTCCTGGATGAGGTAGACCAGCTTGAGAGTAAGAACCAGGATGTCCTGTATACTGTGTTTGAATGGCCGGCTCTCTCCGGGTCCAGACTATCACTGGTCGGCATAGCGAACACGTTGGATCTAACAGATCGAGTTCTGCCCAGACTTAAGGTTAGTGTGTTGTTTCCTTCAATAATATTTATCCTCAAAAATATATATTCTTTTCTTAAAATAAAATTTGAGGGAGAATGTCTGTTAAGATTTATAATTTCTTTAAATTCCCACAAAATTATTTTTTTCTTAAAAATAAGGCTTAAATCGATTGTTACAACATATATATCGATTGTTTTTTAACGAACAAATCTTGATTTTGAACATACAATTGACTATATGTACACCTAAAACATATAAATATATAATGTTGAAAATTTATGACTGTTTAGATAAAAGAGTGGTATAGACCTACTTTGCTTCACTACCCTCCCTACAACAAGCAACAGATAATGGAAATAATTACAAAAAGGTAAAATTTAAAAAAATTCAATTTAAGTGTAACCCACCAGCCTGGACAAATTCCTGTAAACATCTTCCTTGACACAAAATAGTTTTTAATAAAAAATTAAACTTGTTCATTTCATGACTTGTTCTAATTCTCGAATATATTAGATTAGCTGCCAGTGGAGTAGAAACTGACGTAATCGCGCCACGCGCAATCGCTTATCTAGCGGGGAAGATATCAACGCTATCCGGGGACATTAGAAAAGCACTGGATGTTTGCAGGTTAATGGAAATATTGTAAAAATTAACTCTGTAAAGAGTGCTGGTAACAATTTACAACGATGTCTTTCAAATCTGATTTCGACTTCGAAAGAAGCTGTTGAATTTCTTGAACCCTGATTTGCAAGTAAATGGCCTGGATTTTGTTGTATTTAAAATAATTAAGGGCACTAGTGAATCCTTAATGGCACATATTTAATTAAAATTACAATTCCTTCAGAAGCGTGTTACTAATATACTTTTATCTATTTCATATTTTAATATTTTCCACTTTTCTCTTAAATCTAATTTCTTCCAAGTTAGAAGCGTCTGTATACTATAGAAACAAGGGGAAGAAGTTGATATCTTTGGTTTAAACCTAAAATAGAATTATTAATGAATCGAATTTTTTAAATGATTTTTTTTATATTTTTTCAGGCGTGCATTGGAGCAAGCAGAAACTAACACGAGAAAACAAACCTTACTGAAACCCCTGACCCCTAGGGGATTAAACTCCCCCTCTAAATCCCCGCATAAGGGATACAAGATCCCTAAACCCGTGTCAAGGATTGGTCAGGTTGATCTCCCACAGATCATGAAGGTGATAAACCAGGTGTACGGGAGCAAGCTTAACTCATGTATGTCAGGGGTGGGAGGGATACCCACCCAGCAGAAGATCCTGGTCGCGAGCCTCCTCCTCATGGTGAAGAAGGGAACGAGCAAGGAGGTCACCTTCGGTCGCCTCCTGGAGACCTACAACAAAGTGTGCTTGAAGCGGGGGATGGTGGCGGGGGAGGAGGGGGAGTGTGTCGGGATGATCCAGAGCCTGGAGAGCCGAGGGATGGTTGGGTATATCTGTAAGGGAGCTCCGAGGTATGCCAAGGTTAGCTTGAGGTTGGATGAGAAGGAGGTTGAGATGGCTCTTGAGGATAAAACTCTTCTCTCAAGCATCATCAATGATATGCTTTGCCTTTCCTAAACCATCCTACTTCACACTATACACGTAGTTTAAATTATCAAATCATAGAAAATTGTAATTTGGACCGATATAATTTGTAAATTTGAAAATTGTTTTTATTCTTATGACCTTGTATGCTGAAAATTTAACTAGTTTTTTATATGACTTTTTTAATTTAAATATTATCTATGACTGATCTCAATAAATATCTTTAAATGTTCGTAAATGGCTTCTTAGAAGGGACTTGTAAAGATGTGGTTAAATAATATTATGCTAACGACACATGTTTACTGTAATTGGAAATACTTATTTCTTAATATTCATTTGTTAACGTGTTATTAAAAATTCTTCTGCCATGACTGATAAAAATGTCGTCTTTAACCTGGATGAAAATTTATCCTGTTTTTTATCTTCTAGTTCGAACGGTGGAATAGAAAGATTTTAACATTTTTAATATCCAATGGTTTAATGCTTTAACAGACTTATTAGTTTATAGAATTGTATGTCTGATTCACAACGGTAACCATTCAATCTTAAAGGGAGTGTCCGCGAAAAATGAAAGGGGGTATAGGCTTACGGCGATAAATAATCGCTTTTTATCGCTACTAATCTTTCTTCTATCTGTTGCGTCTATAATGAGAAAATTGTTAAAAACGTCTCGTACTGAAGAACGTAGATTCCTTACAAATTCAGAAAGGTGCAACATACGACTCGGATCGTAACAAAATCAATTTAATTCCAAACAAACCATTCAGATATTACAACTTATAGTAATCGATCATTTTTCGACGCATTCGTATATAGTTAATATTTCATAATGTATTTTACTCTCTATGATCCGAGAGTGACTTTTGAAAACATTAATTGCTGTTTCGAGGATTTTGATAATGAAGACCACATTTTCCATATTTTCTGGGAAAATGCGACAGTCGGAAAACAAGTTGTAAGCAAAATATTAATTCTAAAAAACACAAAATTAAAAATATTATGAAATATTAACTATATACAAATGCGTCGAAAAATAATCGATGACAATAGGATTTCATATCTAAATTATTAGTTTGATATTAATTTGATTTTTTTACGATCCAAGTCGTTTATTCAAACTTCCTCAATTTGTATGAACGCTTCGTTCTTCGGTATGAGACGTTTTTAACAATTTTCTCCTTATAGACGCAACAGATAGAAGTAAGATTAGTAGCGATCAGAAGCGATTATTTATCGCCGTAAGCCTATACCCCCTTTCATTTTTCGCGAACATTCCCTTTAATCTAAATATCACCTGATAATATTAATTATTTTCAGGGAGAAATTTTGCTCTTAGTAACTAATCTTTTTAAATTTTGTAAACACATTTATTTTTTAGTTTCGTCTTCATTTACATTTTAAAATACTAAAATATCTTTACTTCATCCAAACAGTAATAAATTTTGATCTATGTCCTCCAGGGTTGTGGTGGAGTGACCAAGGGTTCAGTAGGACCCTGAGCACGGTTTAGTATCCCGACATCTCAGCAAAAGTTTGATCCAGTTCTTCAGTAATTGCTTTAAACTTCTCCTGTTCTCCAACCAGCTCATCTTCAAGACGGTCAACCTGGGTGGGATAGCTAGATAGATAGATAAATATTTGAATATTAAAATAATTAGAATGATGATATGTGGCAAGATTGTCAACTAATTGCTGACACGATATTGTACGGGTTAAGTTATCTTCCTTTTGGCCAATTTCTTATTCATGTTACCATAGGTACAACTATAGGTCGTATCTATCTATCTACACTGCTCTGGTAAAGCGTACCATAGTGTGACTATGGTTCTACCTTTGGTAGAACGTCTAAGAAATGGGCAGCGGCCAAACTCTGTTACTCGCGAATGCACAATGAATTATAAGACAGAGAGCCAGTTCTAGCCGCAGCGCTCGGTCCCCTAGCCTTAGAGCGCGTCCAAGAAAGTGTCTTAACCTAACCCTAAAATATATACTAATCTCTCTCTTCTTATAATTCATGGTGGCATTAGCGAGTAACAGAGTTTGGCTGCTTACTAAGAAACTGGCCACTTCTGAGAAAAAAAAACAATATAAAGTGGAATGACTGTCGTCTTTGTTTAGTCAAGTAAACAATTTAACTTTTTCCTAATTATTTCTAATACTTACCTCCTTTTGTAGTTTCTGAACAGATCTCTCTGCGAACTCAGCTCTGGTCTCGTACTGCTTCAGCTTGCTGGTCAATCTCTTGATCTCGTCCTTGTAGAAGGTCTCCCTGTCGTTCGCCTTGTCCTCGCTCACCTCCAGGGACTTCAAGTTGTTCGCCACAACCTTCAACTCCTCCTCCAGCTCGACAATCTTGAACTCGCTGAGGTCTGCGCGCTCCCCGTCAATCTCCAGCTGGTTCTCACACAGCTGCATCTTCTTGGACGCGTCGTCGTACTTAGTGTCAGCGTCCTCGGCTATCTTCTGGGCCTCCTTCAGCTGCTCGGCCAGGGTCTGCATCTTCTTCTCGTCCTCCTGAGCACGGTTCTGCAGAACCTTGGCCATCCTGTCGCTGTCGTCGGCGGTGGTCGCCGCTTTGTCGTACTTCTGCATGGCGAGGACGTATTTGTTCTCCATGTTCTCCAGATCCTCCTCCATCTCTTGAACCCTGGAGAAAGAAAAACATTTTAGAAAGTGATATTCTTTAAATTTTTTTTTATCTTTTTATCAAAGATTTCAATTTCAAATGATATACTACAAAGCCGACTTTAAATTTTTATTCAATGCAAAGGTTTTGGTTTAGAGTCATAAAAGTGGAACAACATATTTTTGGACTCATTATGGGGGAAGGGGGGGGGGGTTGAAGATTTTTTAGTTTGCTAAATGAGTATTTTTGCTTACAATAACGAAATTCAATATTTATATACATGTTTACCCACAAAGGATGAGACTGTAAAGACGACCTAATATTACATACAATATGACGATTCCAAGATTAAATGAATTCTTCTTCATTGAATGTTTGAAAGGTTTATATAATGATTTGGCGACGAAGGAGACAAGTTCACACTTGCAGGGAATCATAGATATATGAAAACAGACAGCACACATTCCGTACAGTCGTCTCTGAAATCATATCCTTTATGGATAACCTTGCATGCTTAAATCCCACCTCCTATTCAATCTGTTGAATTCAGCCTCCGCGGAGAGAACCTGAGCCTCCATAGCCTCCTGGGCCATAACCTGGAGGGACAACTTCTCTCCGTACACGTCGCACTCGATCTCGAGGTGCTTAGCCTTGTTGGTGAGATCCACGCTCTCCTCCTCGGCCTTGTCCTGACGGATCCTGGCATCCTTGACCAACTAAAAACAACATTTTATCAACTTTACACAACATTTCACCAACTAAACACAACATTTCATCAAATAAAGACAACATTTCATCAACTAAACACAACATTTCATCATCTTTACACAGCATTTCATCCACTTTACACAACATTTCATAAACTTTACAAAACATTTCACCAACTAAACACAACAAAATTCAGCCAATTTGGTTCAGCCGTTTAGCCATATATATTATATAGCTTATATATATGAATATATATATATATAAAATATATGAATAAAATGTTATAAGAAGATTGTTTGACTATGAGCGAAGATTTTATAGATTATAATTATATACAGTCCCAATATTTGATCAGTAAATTAAAGATGTCCCATGGATATCCCCAGTATGTGTTTGCTATTAATGCTTGAACCTCTTTTGAATTTACTACTCTTGAACGAGGGGAGGAAGGCCAACCACAACAATATCTTTTCCGAGCCACATTCTACACATTTTCTCTTCCGAGCCACCTCGAAATCCTCGTCCTTCCAATATTTTTTTTTAAATGTTTAATCCTCTTGCAGAAAATTAAAATATGTTTTTTAAATGTTCAATTTTTGCAGAATTTTTTTTTTGAAAATCTGGCGTCATTGGGTCAAAAATAAAATGCTCAAACAATTTTTAAATTTGTGATAAAATGAATACTCTCCAAAAACGATGTTCTTCAATTATGAGCATCTCTATCAGCGGGAAGGACGAAAATTTCGAGGTGGCTCGGACGAGAAATTTTTGCGGTTGGCCTTTCTCCCCTCCTTGAGCCCTGTACAATGTTTCCCACTAAATAGACTATCACAAATTATAAATTGTAATATTCAACCTGTCGGAAGTGATTTAGTTTGGCATAACATGATTACAACTTCTCCAAAGATTATTTTCTTATACAAAGGTCTGTACTGGTTTACCATGTATATTGAGTATCTATTTGGTCGTCTTTTAATTATCATGTTAGTGTAGGACACACTGCACCTCGTACTACTCTTCACTTACCTGCTCTACAGCATCCATCCTGTCACAGAGATTGTCCTTCTCCACCTTCATGTTCTGAACCTTCTTCTTGATCGCCTCCATCTTCTACTGGTAGTTGGAGGCTAGGGAGTCCTATACAGACAAGTATTGGAGACTAGGAGGTCCTATACAGACAAGTATTGGAGACTAGAGGGTCCTGTACAGACAAGTATTGGAGACTAGAGGTCCTATACAGACAAGTATTGGAGACTAGAGGGTCCTATGCAGACAAGTATTGGAGACAAGGGAGTCCTATACAGACACGTATTGGAGACTAGAGGTCCTATACAGACAAGTATTGGAGACTAGAGGTCCAATACAGACACGTATTGGAGACTAGAGGTCCTATACAGACAAGTATTGAAGACCAGGGAGTCCTATACAGACAAGTATTGGAGACTAGGAGGTCCTATACAGACAAGTATTGAAGACTAGAGGTCCTATACAGACAAGTATTGGAGACTAGAGGTCCAATACAGACACGTATTGGAGACTAGAGGTCCTATACAGACAAGGTTTGAAGACTAGAGGTCCTATACAGACAAGTATTGGAGAGTAGAGGTCCTGAACAGACACGTATTGGAGACTAGAGGTCCTATACAGACAAGTATTGGAGACTAGAGGTCCTATACAGACAAGTATTGGAGACTAGAGGGTCTCATACAGTATTGTAAATATTCTTCAATTTAGTGTTAAAAAACATATCATTTTTGACCTTTCGGTTACACTTAAACTTGGTGTTGAGTGTTTTTAAAAATTTCTTTTTCTTTTTAATGTTATCGAAGAAGTTTTGATAAAAACGATATATTTTTATTTATAATAAATCTATTATAATGTTTCTAACTAATGTAAAGTTTTAAATTTTAAAGTTTAAACAAATGAGCTTTTTGTATCGTTCTATCAAGAACACATACTGAAAATAAATAAAAGTTTTATTTTGTTTGTTAAGGCGCAAAACTGGATTTTGAAACTTGATGAAATGATGTATATGTGGTATTGAAGTGAAAAGATATTCAAATTCTATATTTTTCTGGATTTTTCTTGAAATAATATCTATCTATACTTCGGGTTGGTTTTATCTAGTTTTCCCGGTTTTTTATTAAACCCGGATGTCTACTGGAATGGCATTTTTCAATATATTTATATCTTATCATTTCAGTTTAGGAACATAGTTTAGGAACAATTTAAGAAATCGAATAAGTATCAAAATTTAAGATTTTATGTAAACTTGAAATTATTAGATTTAACTAAAATTTAAAATAAAAACATTATTAAGGTTACAATTTTTTTCTTTGGGAAAAACTAAGATACTTTTTCGTGTTTGATTGGAAAATATATAACAACAAATTTCAGATTATGATGAAAAAAAAGAACGGAGTTCATGTTTTAAATGTGGATGTTAAGGAGGACTCCGAGCATGTTCAGTCTGGGACCCTGAGCAGGGTGCAGGGTTGGGTAGGACCCTAAGCATTGTTCAGTTCAGTTTTATCTATGTCCTCCATGGTTCAGTAGGATCCTGAGGAGGGTTTAGTATCCTGACATCTCAGCAAAGGTTTGATCCAGTTCTTCTGTAATTGCTTTAAACTTCTCCTGTTCTCCAACCAGCTCATCTTCAAGACGGTCAACCTGGGATAGATAGATAGTTGATAAAAAGAAAGATTGATAGATAGATGACACAGATATGTAGTTATGTAGATAAGTTAAGATATGGGTATATTGTATTGGTTCGCTTTAAAACTTCAAATGTTTTTATTTTTTAAAGAGGCTCCAAAAAATCATAGTTCAAAAAAGTAATCTCGATCAGTTTGCTTTTATCATTTTATTATATCGGGCAAAATCTTAACTCTGAAATGAGATATGAGGCTAAAAGAATCTTAACTCTGACATAAGATTTGAGGCTAAACGAAATTTTAACTTAGACATAAGATATGAGGCTAAACAAATTTTAACTCTGACATAAGATACGAGGTTAAACGAATTTTAATTGTGACATAAGATAAGAGGCTAATCAAATTTTAACTCTGACATTAGATATGAGTCTAAAAGAATTTTTAACTCTGACATANCAAACATGTATCTAGGTTGTGAAGTAAGGTTTAAGTTGAGCTGTGGTTCAAGCCTGTATCTAGGTTGTAAAGTAGGGTTTTAGGTTCTGCTGAGGTTCAAACCTGTATCTAGGTTGTAAAGTAAGGTTTAGGTTTAGCTGCGGTTCAAACCTGTATCTAGGTTGTGAAGTAAGGTTTAAGTTGAGCTGTGGTTCAAGCCTGTATCTAGGTTGTAAAGTAGGGTTTTAGGTTCTGCTGAGGTTCAAACCTGTATCTAGGTTGTAAAGTAAGGTTTAGGTTTAGCTGCGGTTCAAACATGTATCTAGGTTGTGAAGTAAGGTTTAAGTTGAGCTGTGGTTCAAGCCTGTATCTAGGTTGTAAAGTAGGGTTTTAGGTTCTGCTGAGGTTCAAACCTGTATCTAGGTTGTAAAGTAAGGTTTAGGTTTAGCTGAGATTCAAACCTGTATCTATTTTGTAAAGTAAGGTTTAGGTTTAGCTGAGGTTCAAGCCTGTATCTAGGTTAGAAAGTAAGGTTTAAGTTAAGCTGTGGTTCAAGCCTGTATCTAAGTTGGAAGGTTAAAGTTAAGCTGTGGTTCAAGTTTGAATCAAGGTTGGAAAGTAAGGTTGAAGTTTGCGGTTTAAAGGGACCGCTTCCCATATTTGGATATTTGAAGGGTCAAAAAACAAGTATTCAAGCTTTTTATTTCTAATGGTTTAAGTTCTGAAAGAAGGAGGCCTAGAATATTATGGAAATGTCAAAAGGGGGGGATAGGGGATTGGATTTGCATTTCTCTCATAAAGAATAAAATTAAGATATATCCTGAAATTGAATTTTAACCCCCTCCCCCGTCTCTCAAAAAATTTATTTATTTCCGGAAATCGCCACTATTATAAGTATTTCGGAGTATGCCATTTAAATTCTTTTTATTTTTCAGTCAAGCTGAACCAAAACTTGTTCATTAGAACCAAGAGAGATATTTAATTTAATTTATTTCTGAACTGTGTCAAAAGACTATTTACGTCAACGGGCAGGGGGGGGGGGGGGGGGTGTAATACCAATTACGAAATTATGACAGTGAAAGTAGTGTAATAAAAAATTATAGAAATGATAATAATATTATGTAAAAATTAGTTAGCTTGCAAAATCTACGCTTAAATAGTGAAAATGGGTTCTAAAGTGAAGGCTCACTCACTTTCGATCACAAACTCGCATAACAAAGTAAATATTAAAGTAATTATGATAATGATGATAATATCATGAAAAATGATTAATGATGAACATGATAATGATAATAATGTAAAATAGTATTATTTCTAGTAATGGTAGTAGCATAATGTTCTTAAAGGAAGGAGGCTCACTGACTTTCAAACCAAAACAGTTACTCATAGGACAGGTCAGGTCAGGGGGCAAACTTTGGTGATTTCAACTCTGATCACTTTATATTTCTCACAGTCAAACCAAACGTACACAAACACATTCTAACACATGTATCACTTCGTTTTACTCAGAGCTAGGAAAATTAAATAAATTTTAAACTGTGATACAGAGTTGATCACAAAGGATAAGACTTTAAGTCGTTCAATGGTATATTAAATAAATCTGCAAAGAAAGAAGCAAGTTTTCAGCTGCAGTCATAACTGTAATACATTCTTTACAGTCGATCGTTTCTTAACTCTGACATCTCGTTTTTTGTGTGTAACTCAGTATGTATAAATATATATCCTGATGATTTCGACAGCATGAAACAACTGGTAGATACGATACTTAATAAATCTTCAAATAGTTGTTGATATTTCTTCATTAATATATATATACTAGGCTTTTAGAGCTCTTCGCGCCCAATGCCCATATTCTATTTCAACTTTTAATTGTGGCTTTATATTTGAGCATCTTCTCTTTGTAGAGTACAAAAAAAAATAAAAAAAAGGTTTGCCAATTTCATAATATTTTTTTGCGCATTTTCAAAATTTTACAAAAATAAAAAACTTTTAAAATGTTTTAAATTTTGATCATTCATAACCCTTCCCTGGGGTCACGTGATGTTCCACACAAAATTTGGGCCCGATCGGTTCAGCCGTTTTGACGTTTATTGGATAAAAACAAACAGACAGACAAGCCAAATTTATAGATAGATATAACTGGCCAGTTTCCTTAGTTATTTTTTTATCAAGAAAAGTTATGAAATAGTCCAATTAAATCCGTAAAAAAGATTTAGAAAATCCATAATTATTGTTGTGATTCACCAGTTTAAACATGTTTATTGACTGATGAGGATATATTATATATATATATGTATATACATAAATAAACCTAACATGACATTGACAAGACCACAGAAAAAGTTTGTGGGTGATCACAATTTAAAGTAAAAATGCTAACGAAACATATAAAAATATGCCAAAATTTCCTTCAAAGCCTGGTTTAAATTGGTTTGGTATAAATGTTAACTAGCCTTCTTTAATTACATCTTTCTCTGTTCTTTAATTATTTCCGGTTCAAGGGGTAATTTTTAAATTAATTAATTGCTGAACTGTTTCTAGTAATTATACTGGGAGCGTAGAATTAAACTCAAGGAGTCAGATACAGGGTTTTCATAAAGGATGAGACTTTAAAGACAACTGAAGGATAATAAAGTTTCTACATGGTTCCCTGCCTACAAACAGTATACATTATCTATATATATATATAAAGTAGTAATCTCTCTTCGTTTGTTCGTAACTCAGAGACCCTTGACCGATTTGCCTCAAATGTTGAACTCGGGAGAACCACGGAAATGTTCTTTACTTGGTTTTGAGATTCTAAGTCAAGTGGGTCCACTTTTACAGGGAAATATAGATTAAATGGTAAGTTACAACCAAACGCGGGTAAAGAGTGGGACACGGGCAGCCGAAGTTCATTTGAATTTCCGAGCCGGGTCAACCTTTCCGGTCCCAGTTTGTATTGTATCGCCCAAACATTGGGTAAATAAAGTAGATACTCAATAGGACTAGCCGGTGCAATAAGGTTGACACGGTTAGACTTTAGGTTGACCGTTGAATTTACTTTTACTAAAGGGTCAGGGGTGCCTGGGGAGTCTACATATGAGTACCCTGAGCAACGCAGGGTTCTCAAGCTAGTATACAATATATGTTATATGTACTTCTATTTTATTTTAACCATAAACGAAACTATTCAACATTCGGTAACATTATCCAGACAGCTTATATTTTGTGCATGAAACGTGTTGGGTTCACTACACACTGGGTACACGTACCAGGCAATTTGGTACTAGTTAATGCATTTACGGTACAGTTACACTAGACCGGTACGTACAGTACTTGTACGGACCAAGCAACGATGCGCGGATGTCTCTGAAGTCTTATCCTGTATGTATGACAATACTTTATTTAAAAATGTAAAATGGCGGTAATTTAAACAGTAAACTTGAGGCATTTTTCTTTCTACACTTAAAGTATTCTTTTAAAAATATGGACGATTACATTGGAAAATGAAGTCTATGATAAAATTCCCTTTTTCAAAATTGAATATTTATTTTTTTGTTGTAATTAAACGTTTTGGAGATTGGTTGGGTCAAAGATTCATCTTCAGGGTCAAATAATCATCAGATCTTATCAATGTAATTAATTGTTGAATTTTAATTGATTATTTAGGAAAAAGGACACCCTGTAATTTGAACCCTCGGAAATAGAAGGACTAGGACTTTAAAAGAACACTCTGTAAACCCGGAAATAGAAGGAATAGGACACCCTGCATACCCTGAAATAGAAGGACTAGGACTATAGGACACCCGTTATACCCGGAAATAAAAGGACTAGGACTATAGGACACCCTGTATACCAGGAAATAGAAGGACTAGGACTACAGGACACCCTGTATACCCGGAAATAGAAGGACTAGGACTATAGGACACCCTTTATACCCGGAAATAAAAAGACTAGGACTACAGGACACCCTGTATACCCGGAAATAAAAGGACTAGGACTATAGGACACCCTGTATACCAGGAAATAGAAGGACTAGGACTATAGTCCACCCTGTATACCAGGAAATAATAGGACTAGGACTATAGGACACCCTGTATACCAGGAAATAGGGACTAGGACTATAGGACACCCTGTATACCAGGAAATAAAAGGACTATGACTATAGGACACCCTGTATACCAGGAAATAGAAGGACTTGGACTATAGGCAACCCTGTATTCCCGGAATGACTATGACTATAAAAGAACACCCGGTATACCCGGAAATAGAGGGACCAGGACTACAGAACACCCTGCATACCCGGAAATAAAAGGACTAGGACTATAGGACACCCTGTATACCAGGAAATAGAAGGACTAGGACTATAGGACACCCTGTATACCCGGAAATAGAAGGACTAGGACTATAGGACACCCTGTATACCAGGAAATAGAAGGACTAGGACTATAGGACACCCTGTATACCAGGAAATAGAAGGACTAGGACTATATGACACCTGGTATACCAGGAAATAGAAGGACTAGGACTATTGGACACCCTGTATACCCGGAAATAGAAGGACTACAACTATGATATGAATTGGCACTGGACCAAGGATTAGAGTTGGCGACAACACAACCTCTGCTCCGGGTGTGAAATCTACTGGTTCGGAGCAGACACCGTATCCAACCTTGTGTGTAAACTCATGTCAGGGTCAGGACTCAGGACTAGGGACAAGAATATAACCATACAACACAACACCAAGATAGATTCGGGGAATTCATGAAGTAATGGAGCTAGGGAGAGGGTATTTGGGGAATTCATGAAGTAATGGAACTAGGGAGAGGGTATTTGGGGAATTCATGGAGTAATGGAACTAGGGAGAGGGTATTTGGGAAATTCATGGAGTAATGGAGCTAGGGATAGGACATTTGGGGAATTCATCGAGTAATGGAACTAGGGAGAGGGGATTTGATGAATTCATGGAGTAATGGAACTATGGAGAGGGGATTTAGGGAATTTATTCAGTAATTGAACTAGGGAGGGGTTATTCGGGGAATTCATGGAGAAATGGAACTAGGGAGAGGGGATTTGGGGAATTCATGGAGTAATGGAACTACAGTGAGGCAGATAGAATTTTTAGTTTGACGTAAATAGTTCATATGTAAACAAATAATGCAGATAGTAAACAAAGATAGGATTACCTGGGCAACCAGTGTTTGTTTAGTACAGTGAAACTAGTTCCAGAGCTTTCTTTAAACGTCACAGAAGGACGTAAACAATTCTTTTAATTAATTCTGTTACGGGGGGGGGGGTAAGTATCGATGAGCAAGATATTTCTGTTTTCTAACTGGTATGCACTAAAATGAAATGTACCAACCTCTTTCTGTAGTTTTTGAACAGACCTCTCCGCGAACTCGGCTCTTGTCTCGTTTTGCTTCAGTTTAGCTGTTACTCTCTTGATCTCTTCCTTGTAGTACTCCTCCCTCTGGTTTGCCTTGTCCTCGCTCACCTCCAGGGACTTCAAGTTGTTTGCCACAACCTTTAGTTCCTCCTCCAGCTCGACGATCTTGAACTCGCCGACAGACGCGCGCTCGTCGCTTACTTCTAGAGCAGCCTCGCAGGTGTGCATCTGCTTGGAGGCATCATCGTATTTCTTGTCAGCGTCCTCGGCCATCTTCTGGGCTTCCTTCAACTGCTCGGCCAGGGTCTGCATCTTCTTTTCGTCGTCGGAGGCTCTGTTCTGCAGAACCTTCGACATTCGGTCGCTGTCGTCGGCTGTGGTCGCCGCCTTGTCGAGCTTGACAATGGCGGTTTGACACTTGGTCTCCGTATTCTCCAGGTCCTCTTCTAGTTCTTGAACTCTGCGGTTCAACCGGTTAAACTCGGCTTCGGCGGCTTGAACTGCTGCTTCCTTTTCGTTCTGCTTCAGCTGGGCAACAGATAATCTCTCAGAGAAAACATCAACCTCAACCTTAACAATAAACACATATTTAGGCAAAAAAGATACTTTTAAATCATCAAAGAAATGGAACAAATTAGAAACTTGAAATTGTAAATTTGGTTTCAGAATATTATTTGACAAAAAACCTCTTTTTTATTATTTGGAAAAACACTATTTCAAAAACCGAGTTGTTAAAAACCGAATTGTCGTGGTCCTGTTTGCTTTGATTAACAGGGGAGAACACCTTATATTTTCTTCCTTTACCTAATTTATTCGACACCCTTCCTACTTTCTCTTTTTCTTCCTCATCCAACTTCTTTTACTTTCTCCTTTATTCAACTCCTTTTACTTTCTCCTTTATTCAACTTCTTTTACTTTCTTCTTTAATCAACTTCTTTTACTTTCTTCTTTATCCAACTCCTTTTACTTTCTTTTTTATTCAACTCATTTTACTTTCTCCTTTATTCAACTCCTTTTACTTTCTTTTTTATTCAACTCCTTTTACTTTCTCCTTTATTCAATTCCTTTTACTTTCTCCTTTATTCAACTCCTTTTACTTTCTCTTTTATTCAACTCCTTTTACTTTCTCTTTTATTCAACTCCTTTTACTTTCTTCTTTAATCAACTCCTTTTACTTTCTCCTTTATTCAACTTCTTTTACTTTCTTCTTTAATAAACTCCTTTTACTTTCTCCTTTATTCAACTCCTTTTATTTTCTCTTTTATTCAACTCCTTTTACTTTCTCTTTTATTCAACTCCTTTTACTTTCTTCTTGAATCAACTCCTTTTACTTTCTCCTTTATTCAACTCCTTTTATTTTCTCCTTTATTCAAATCCTTTAATACGGTTTTCAATTCTACTCCTTTTTGTTACATTCTTTGCTAAACTCTTTTATCCTATTCCTTCGTATCAACTCCTAATCCTACTCATTTTTTCCTCCTATTGGAACCCCCCCCCCCTCTCCTCTGCGTGTTAATGTATATCCCTTTAAGTGTGAATAAAGTGTCAATGTCGGATATGAAAATGATAGAAGGAAGGATCTCAGGATTATTTTCTTCGAGAAGCCATACACTGAGGAAACATATAGTCGATACATATATACAGGGTGACCAACTAAACATGATTACTGAAAGATGACTTTAAGATCGTCTCTGATATCAATGACACAGAGTGAAGTGTGTTTAAAAAAAGTATCACGACATTAAAGATTTTCAAGAGGTTTCAAAAGTATGATATCATTATTTGGGACAAATTTTTCATTATATAGCTGAGATTTAGACGTTTTTCCATTGTCATATTAAGTGGGACACCCTGTGAGATATATCAGAAAAAATCCGGCGGTTTGGGATAATTTTTTTTTGAATCATTTACCTTCAGAAATCGAAATCGGAATTAATTCATTAATATTTCCGGCAATTTTTTTATATGATAAAGTCTACTATTTAGAAACAGCGTGGTCTTGGTTATATCAGTTGAATAGTTAAGTTTGATGGAATAACATGATAAAACTCCTTTTTTTTGTTGAAATCTAAAATGTTTTAAAAACCAATAAAAACATAGGCTTTAGAAGCTTGATATGCAACTGCACAAAGAATAAAGCTTGAGGAGCAGGTATTATTTTTGAACAAGTGGAGATATGGGAGTAATATTTATGGTTCAACTATAAATTATGATTTTCTTTGATTAGAAATGAAAAGGAGGATTAAGAGAAAAAGTTCTCTGGAAAATATTAAAGAATCATCTCCACGTACTATTTTATATATGCTCATATTCACTTCTGAAATCTGAAATCATAGATTGAAGAATTTTGTATAAGAATTCCCACTAACATTTTATATATCTTCTAAGAAACTGAATTTTTGCCACTAACTCAAATTTTCTAATCCCTATATCTTTGCAACCTGATGGTGAAAACCTTTTTTATTTCAAACTTAGACTATTAAATCTACCAGAGCTCATAGGTTGAAATATCAATTGGTCTTCGACCTTAGGTTGCAAAGATATTGGGATTATAAAATCAGTTCCGTTATATGTGCAAAAGAAAATTTGGACTGATGAATGTTGGACTAGAAGTCGTGTCATAAGCGCGCAAAGATGGGGTTTAATCTAAAGCAGATTTTATTTTTATTTGAAATCTTGCATTATTTGGAACATAACTTAGTTTTCTGAATAGATATTTCTAAAATAGTTTTGTTTAAATCCTTGCCACCAAATAACTTTGCTTTGCTCACTTTTTGGGTGGAAAATCTAAACTATAGAGAAGTCACGTGGTCGACAAGTCGCACCAGTAACTTCGCATACATTTGACCTTGTTCCTAATGGTCATATCGGAGGGGAGGGGGGTTGTCATGCAAAGCAATGTTTTTGTACTGTTGTAACATCCTGCTTTCTCAGGGCTTAAACTCTTAATTCATTTTAAGGAACTGAGTTTTAACCACAAACTTAAAATTTATAATCACTATATCTTTGCAACCTCTAAGGTTAACATCTTTGATATTTCAAATTATTTTATCTAACAGAATTTTATATCTTGAAATAGCAAAGAACTACACAATGATATAAGGATTTTAAAATCGGAGTTCGTAGGAAAAACTTTTTCCCTAAAAAGTTTTCTCCCCTATGATAAAGACATTGACTTTTTTTTAGTTAAAAGTAAAATAACTTTCAAAAATTAAAATCTTCTTATAGTTTTAAAGAAAAATTATTATTTTTACACTTCTTGTATCTGTTATAACATTTTTGTTCTTGTTACAGATGAAAGACATGATCTTGACATCAACACAGACACAAGATTATCATAAACAAATATTAAACTTTTAGAAATACATATACATATAAGCATAGAACATGTATATGCTACAGACATCATATTTTCTAAAGTTCATTTCGTTAAGTTTTATTTGTTTTAAAAACAATTTCTTTTTTGAAGAGATATACGAGAAAATAAGTTTTGAAATGCCTAACCGAACAATATGGCTTCTTTTACTAAGATTGATGTAAAGTATAAATCAAATGGAGGAGTTACAATGGCGCAAACTCATACAACTTTGTGGTCTTAATTATGTAGAGATTGCAGTGATATATAAAAATACCTCAATATATTAAACATAAAGATATAAGCAATGATATTTTAAAGATAGTAGAAAGAAAGACAAAGACCAGACAGAAACTCGGAAAGAAAAACAAAAAAAAAATAAAAAATGAAAGATAACAAATTTACGAAAACAAAGAATCTGAAATAGAAAAATACTCGAACAAAAACAAATTAATTGTTTAGAAACTTTTTATAGGTACATATTACAACATGTCTAACAAATAAAAATAGACAAAAGAAAAGTATCATATCAATAGACAGGAATTTGAATGAACAGACGTCAAAGACATGACACAGAAAAACACGAACGGGAAAAGACACGAATATTGTTCTGTATTCGGGGCGCAAACTTAAATCTATCATTCAACAAACATTGTGCTCAACAAAAACCTAGAACGCGCACTGTAAACCCAAGCACACGAAGCGCGCACAAGAAACATGGATTCCAATTACAAACTTGCAAATCAGTATTTGCATACATGCTGAATATTTTAAGTTGGTTCTCATCAATCATATCAGAAATAACAGATATTTTTATGTTATTTCATAACAGTAAGTGCCAAAAAGCAAAATGAGCAATAACTTTTATTTCATTTTTAAAAGCCTTCTGACTTTTCCAAGGTTCCGCACAAATCTGAAAAGTTTTACTTTCCAAATCGTTTATTCTAAACATTTCCTTTCCTCACACTAGGCCAAATTTTAACCGTTAGAAAAGATAAATGCAAAAAAACGCTCCAAAAACTATCGTTTTTTTTGGTTTTTTCCCCCATATATTTTTTCTTAGGATACACATTTTGTATAATTTTAAAATGTTAGATATTGATCACTGTTTCTTGGTGCCTTTGCAAATTAAAAAAAAATTCTTAAAAATCGGAGAAAACCGAACCAAGTTAAATTGCACATTTCTTGATGAGATTCAAATAAGTTAGACCACATTTTGTAAAGCTCTTTAGACCGTTTTGGGATACACTTTTTAGCAGATATGACCAACCCTCATGCCTTCTCCAAATTTCCATTTTTATTGGGACATCCTGTATGGACTTGAAAATGAAAAAATATATTTTTACCTCCAGAGTTTTGAGTTTGTTGTTGAGCTCATTTACTTCCTCTTCAGTCTTACTTTCACGATTTTTAGCCTCTCTCATCGACTAAATTAAAAGGACTGTAAGCGTCATTTTTAAAAGTAATCGGAATTTTCACATTTGAAAAACAATTTTTTTTACAAAACATAATTTTTGTTTTATACAAAAATTCCAATTTAAAAATACGGTTTCTCTGGAATATTATTGTTTGACTTTCTCTTTTGTAATTTATCCAATTTATCCGATAAAGTAATTTCCTGCTCCGAACCAATTAGTTTTAGATTGATTTCAGATCAAGCCGATTTCAGGCGTTTTTACTTGGGATTGATTGTACGCGGTGCTAACCTTAATCTCTCATCTAATCTCTGCTGATTACTGATTAAACTTCGTTCAATCTCCAAACAAACTGATTATTTGAAGGTCCTTTGCTTTACAAAAAAATACTTTCATTCCTTTTTTAAATCATCTCCCCCCCCCTCTCCCACCTCTTGTTCTCTCTTAATCTGTTACAGATCTGTCTAATCCTATTACGATCTATCATTTCTGTTTATTCGAAATATTAAAATATCACAGGTCTACGTCATCAAGTTAGAAAGGAATTGAGTCTTTGTCACAAACTCTGATTTTCTAATCCCTATATATTTGCAACACAATGTCTTACACCTCTTATATTTCAAACTATGAATTCTGTTAGATTCAATAATCTAAATTTTGAAATATCAAAGGTTTAGCTCATCAAGACCCAATTCCTTTAGAATTTGCGGCGAAAATTCAGTTCATTTAAGAAAAAAGGATTTTCATTGTTTTTGCGTGATGACCCAAAAGATAGTTTTTAACTTTACACAACAATTTCTAGTCCGAGCCACATTCTCCTCATTTTCTGTTAAATATGAAAAGGACGAGGATTTCGAGATGGCTCAGACAAAATAATAAGGAGAATGTGGCTTGGACGAAAAGTTGCTCTGGTTGGCCTTCCTCCCCTCAGTTTGATCTAAGGATACAAATTCTGAAAATATTCTCACCAATTCCATAGCATCACACCGATCCATGAGATTATCCTTCTCCGCCTTCATAGACTGCATCTTCTTCTTTATAGCCTCCATCCTATATATATATATATATAGTCAAGTACAGGGAGTCCTAAAAAATGTGATTAGGATTCTTAAGCCCCGGAATACAAGTACAAATAAAGGTACAAGTACATGTCATGAACATGTACAAGTGCATGTACATAAAAATGTACAAGTACATGTATATGAACATGTACAAGTACATGTATATGAACATGTACAAGTACATGTATATGGACATGTACAAGTACAAGTACAAGTACAGGTACAAGTACAAGTACAAGTACAAGAACAAGTACAAGTACAAGTACAAGTACAAGTACAAGTACAAGTACAAGTACAAGTATAAGTACAAGTACAAGTACAAGCACAAGTACAAATACAAGTATGAGTACAAGTACAAGTACAAGTAAAAGTACAGGTACAGGTACAGGTACAGGTACAGGTACAGGTACAGGTACAGGTACAGGTACAGGTACAGGTACAGGTACAGGTACAGGTACAGGTACAGGTACAGGTACAGGTACAGGTACAGGTACAGGTACAGGTACAGGTACAGGTACAGGTACAGGTACAGGTACAGGTTCAAATACAGGTACAGGTACAGGTATAGGTACAGGTACAGGTACAAATACAGGTACAGGTACAGGTACAGGTACAGGTACAAATACAGGTACAGGTACAGGTACAGGTACAGAAAAACAAGACGGACAAAGTAAAAGTTAAATAGAAGAAATTGTGTTTTGTCAGTATTACCTTAAAGAATTTTTTTTTGTGATTTTTAAAAATCTTCGAACTTATTTAAAACATTTATAAAATAACTAAACAATTGCCACAAATCATTATTTTCTAATTACTGTATCTTTGCATTGTGATAAATTCTGCTTACATCGTCTTATATTGAAATATCAAAGATTTACACCATCAGAATGCAAAGATAAGGATATTAGAAAATTATAGTTTGTATCGAGAGCTCAGTTCTTTTAGGTATGTATTTGTTTTAATAGGTTTACAACTCCTATGTTACGCAGATTTAAAATTGAATAATTATATACGCAGCAAGATTACGCATAAGTTATTAGTTAAAGATCAATCAACACTCAAATATTAGTAAATATGGAAAAAGAGAAAAGTTTAATTTACAAAAATTATATTTTTTAGAGTAAAAATGTTCTCACCTTAATGTTTAAACGCCATGCAATCTAAACTACAGAATGTGCGTGCAGAGTGCGCTGTGAGCACCGATCGAGTTATTTATATAATTTTACAATATTTAAATTTTTACATGTTGTTGTTAAACACCGTTTTTAAGTAGGGCAATATTGCAAGTTTCAAATAAACTGTCGGAAAAGGACCATAACCGATTCACAACAGTATCGTTTAGACCTTCCTCTGAGTAAAAATGATGAAGAAATTCTTTTTTTTATCTAAAAATCAATAATTTTTAAATTGTGTTTTTCCTATAAAAAAGACAAAAAAAATACCAAATTTTATTCTTTAATGATAAAAAAATGACAAACTCCCTTTTGTTGCTCAGATTAAGGTTAGGGTACCGTTGTGAATCAAGAAATGCAGTAATTTTTAAAATGGAGGTCACATAAAGATAAGTCGACTGTCCTGACAGTAAATATAAATTTAGAGTTAAAACTTAAATCTGGTTTACACTTTAGTACATTAATTTAATACAATTAACATTTGTTAAGTTTTATCTATACAAGGGCGGGGGAAAATATTTATATAAACACTTTTTCCCACCCTTTGTAATAACATGCAGTTTGCATTGTGTGAATATTAACTATCTAATTTAAATCACATGCTTTGTAAAAATTCACAGTTTAAAAAAATGCCATTGTAGTAATTCGGGGAAAATTGAAAAATTGATTGATTAAAAAAATCTGGGAAACCTAGGGAAATGAGGGAAATTGAGGTGATTTAAGTGCTAGGGAGGGAGGAGGAGGGAGAAGGAAGGATACCTTTACGTGAAGAGAAAACAACAAACTGAAAACAATACTCCAGTTGGCCGAGCAGGCTGTCCTGACCGGCCACCAGTAGCTGCCCTGACCCCAGCCAGCCTTCTCAGAAAGGGGGGGTAATATTGTTTGTGATGAGGGGAAGGTGGGGAATAGCAATCATAATTGTATTGATAAATAAGTAGCAGGGAATATAGATGGTGAATTTGCAAGAGAATTAAACCGTTAAATTCCCTAAAGACGGGATTTTTAGAATTGAGGAATTAAATGGTGTCTTGAAAGTTGAAACATTTAATTTATTACCAGCCGAAGTACACATAATGTTTTAAATAAAGCCTTATTTTTCGACCATGTCAGGGGATTTTATTTTGTGTTTAAATATGCATCTTAGATTGGATGCTAAAAACTAAGTAGCCCCTGATTCAACATGTTTACACAACTTAGAATTTTTAAACCAAGCTAAAACATTTCCGTTTAAATCAATCTGATCGGACAAACCATGAATATACGTATATATGTAAATACCTTTTTGTATATTTATATACTTTTGCACTATATTTGTCTACATGTGTTGCATATACATCAACTTTTTGTATAATAGCCTGGGAACCCAGCTTTGTCTTGAAACGAAGCTTTTTTTAAGAGCCAACCTTTGAAACTAATAACTTTTAAATCAAGCTAAGAACATTCCCGTGGTTCTATAAAAATTTTTCGTATTTGCATTTTTTTGTTTTGTATATACTAGTGTTATATTGTATATAGTGTCATGTTAAACTAGTATTGTATATACTGGTGTTGTTTTGTATATACTTGTGTTAAATAAACTTGTGTTGTATAAACTTGCGTTGTATAAACTTGCGTTGTATAAACTTGTGTTGTAAAAACTTGTGTTGCATAAACTTGTGTTGTATAAACTTGTGTTGTAAATACTTGTATTGTATATGTAAACTTGTATTGTATAAACTTGTGCCTGTAAAAACTTGTGTTGTATAAACTAGTGTTGTATAAACTTGTGTTGTATATACTTGTATTGTATAAACTTGTATTGTATAAACTTGTGTTGTAAAAACTTGTGTTGTATAAACTTGTGTTGTATATATTGTATTGTATATACTTGTGTTGTATACACTTGTGTTGTATAATGCTTAGTTTTCATGTATAGCTAGTGTTAAAATGAAGAGCTCCACTATGCATGAATACTACTGTGAACCATATCCCTAATGTAACCCTGTTTCAAAAGTCGTCTCCGACAAATTGTATCTCCGTTGAATACTCCGTACTCCGGCCATCCGCCAAACCAAACCTTGCCAAGGATTTTACATAAATAACCTCATGGAGCTAGTAAAACTTAAAGTGCATTAAAAAGAACCTATTTAAACACAATTTTCAGTGAATCATTTACATATAAACAGTGAACTTATTTAACCAGATAAATATTCATTTCAGAAGAATTAAATTGCTTTAGACTTCAGTACAAACAACTTTTCGCCGTACCACAGTTTTCTAGATCGTAAGTTCATGTTTGATTCACAATGGTACCCATTTAAAATATTTCATTCATTAATTCCCATCGGTACCTTAAAATATTTCTTGATCGATTCACAACAGAACCTTTCCTTTAAAATTCCTATTTATCAGTTTCAATAAACATTTAATTAGTTGTAATCAAATAGTTACATTTTATTAACAATTATTGTTCACATTTGTTCGTCAATAACAATCTGTATTGTAGGAAACTTCGTTACTGAATAAACATTTTCAAGAAGTTCTCATCTATGTGTGTCTGGTAGAAAAGAGTGTTTCCCTAACCTATTTGCCTTTGGATTTGTCATTCTTCGAGTTACCTATCCTTTGCTTCAGTACATCCCGCTTCGAGTAACTTTTCCTTTTGTTCAGCTCACAACTACATATTACTATGCATACTAAAGAGCATATTGTGTACAACGGATTTCCTTCCTTAACTCTTCCTCATATCTCTAACAGGGTGGTATAAAGGGAAGTACAACCCCTCCATCTCTAATAGGGTGGTATAAAGGGAAGAACAACCCCTCCATCTCTAACAGGGTGGTATAAAGGGAAGTATAGCCCCTCCATCTCTAACAGAGTGGTATAAAGGGAAGAACAACCCTTCCATCTCTAATAGGGTGGTATAAAGGGAAGAACAACCCCTCCATCTCTAACAGGGTGGTATAAAGGGAAGAACAACCCCTCCATCTCTAACAGGGTGGTATAAAGGGAAGTATAGCCCCTCCATCTCTAACAGGGTGGTATAAAGGGAAGAACAACCCCTCGATCTCTAACAGGGTGGTATAAAGGGTAGAACAACCCTCCATCTCTAACAGGGTGGTAAAAAGGGAAGAACAACCCCTCCATCTCTAACAGGGTGGCATAAAAAGAAGAACAAACCCCTTCGTCTCTCCAACGTAGAAAAGGTATAGCTAGCCTGCGTTCGGAGAGATAATATACAAATGTTTTTGGGAGACAAAATACACTTTTTTAAAATGTGTTTATATGCAACGTTCCTGACATTCAGTGTCGTTTTTGCTCCTGTTTTTAGTCATAATTGTATTTTTTTGGCTTATGAAACTGTTAAATTGTCCCTTCGTACAATATAAAATTAGGCTTTTAATCTTCTTTTGTATTTGCAAACATTTTCTGTTTGTACAAAAACAAAAAAGCTCGCGGATATTATAAAAAACTGTCGTGGATTTGTTGAATTTATTAAAAATCGAATTTTGAACATCTATGAACCTGTCAAGTGAGGTCCCATATAAAATTTGGGCCTGATCGGTTCAGCCGTTTTGACGTTTATCGGATACAAACAGACAAGCAAAGTACGTGTATATTACTAGGCTTTTCAGTCTATTTCAATTGCACATTTTTTCTTTGTATGCATTGTGAAATAAAAACAAACAAAAAAGATAGAAGATTGGAAAGAAGATAGATAGAAGATAGATAGATCAAATGTGCACAGAACATTTTATGGAACATTTTTTAGGTTAGCTATTGACTTTAATACCATTAGTCATAGACAACTCCATGGGCCATGTAAGGTCCCATACAA